ACCAACCAGGAACCCATCACCCAACAAATATGCGGAAGAAAGTAACATGGACTGGCCATACATTGAGAAGACTGTTCTGAGACATCACGCGTCAGCCCGTCCAGTAGAACCTAAAGGGGAAACGAAGAGTTAGGCGTCCTAGACGAGGGTAACATGGAGGAGATGATGTGAGGAAGAAGTGAAAGCTTGTGGGCAGTCATGAAGCCAGTTTGAAAAGACTACAGAGAAGACATTGAAATGGAGACATGCTACTGAAGCCGTATGTTCCACTAGGAACACAAGGGACAAATAATGATAATAATCGACTCACATGTGGTTGTTTTTATTACATTTTTTTCCTATTCCACAATACTGATGCAACTGTCTGAACTCCAATCACCTTATTTCTTAGCTAATATAAGTTCTTCGACCTTTTTATGCGTATATTTTGTTACCTTCCCCTGTAGAATATTTGTCTAATCGTTCTAAATATTGACTAACTCACCATGAGTTCTTGCACATTCGTTCATTCGATTTGGGTCTTTCACTACGTCATATCAAAATTATTTTTTCTTAAAGCCGATAATTTTCTATCAAACTGACTCAAGTATACAAACACTTAATGTTAAAATTATTTTAGGTTGAAAGTATCTGATGAAAATCCGTGAAATAAAATAGATCCATCCTATTCTGAGAAAGCTGTTTTTCTCGCTCTTTTAAAATTTGTGAAAGGAGAGGATCGTATGAATAACATCTAATGGCAACTCACAAGGTGAATATTTTTTTCTCAAGGTTAGAAGCATCTCTCGTACATTAGTAAGCATACAAGACCACTAAATGAAAATTTAAAGGTCTTAGGCGATACTATTAAACCATTTAGCAATAAGTTGAGATAGCGTAATCAAAGGTGAATTCACATAGAAACTACATTTACTTTGTTATGAAATAAGTCAACATAATCTATGCTGACTGAATGTTGAAAATCTGTAAGCAGATGACAATCTTATCTTCATAATTATTGACGCTCACTAACATATATATATATATATATATATATATATATATATATACGTAGGTAGCCAGCGAACCTATGACCTTGAAACGTTTCAAAACTAGTCTTGTGCTTTCCTTTGGTTCATATATTCTCATATTATTTTCTTTCTAGGTTCTTCTAGCTACGTGCGCGATGATTCTAGTGCATTATTTATTCCAACAAACCAAAATCGTAAACAACTCAACATGAAACCGGCACATAGAATCACTAATGAAGTTCATCAATTTTCAAAATTACGGACATCATTTGATTCAAGTCAGTCAAATTTGTCATTTAAATATTCGGTTATATACATAGTTTCAAGGGATTTAATTTTTAAGAAAGAATTAATCACAGACCGACATAACTTGGTAAATTGCTAAAAACCTGAGAACACTTGACATTGTTTTGTCGTAGTATAGGTGAGGAATCTCATGCCACGACAAAACTGCTGTCCGATGCTCCCAGGTTTCGGATGGTTCTCTTAATGATGTCAGTCCGTATGAATTCTACCTTATATACATATATAACGAAACAATAAGAAGACGTAAATTTTCTGGACCTTGTAATGTATTTACGCAACACATTTCGAACTATCTGACCACACGCATATTTGTCATAGGTATTTATATGAAAATTCATGAAGATAAGGGGTGAGAAGATGAAAAGCGGTTAGGTAGGAAGACTGAATTAAAGGCCAGATAACAATGGAAGTCAATAAATGTAATAGATTGTTTTTGAACACACAAAAATGGTTTTAACTTCCTGATAGCTAAGGCGTCAACAAATTTAAGGATTCGTTCCCAACACGTTTTGTGAATAGGTCTAAAGGAAGTAGCCACGTTAATCCTGTGGCCTGTCTCAATGATATGTTTAGCGATCGAAGAATTTGAACATCTGCTGTCAGAGTTTATGGGTTTAGGCGATTTAATTTGTTTCTGAAACCACTTTAGAACATGTTTCGAGACCCTTACTTGCATGCAAGTATGAGCCCTCCCTATGTATGTCTCACATACATAGTGAATTTTGATGGATAGTTATTTTTCAGTAGTATTTCAGTACGTGTACCTTTTTAGTCTTCCGAAATGTCATTTGAGCATATGCTTTGAATTCTACCAAGTAAGCACGTAACTAACCCTCGCTTATGCTGAAGTGGACAAAAGCTATGATAGTTCAAATACCGTCCTGTCCACGTAGGTTTTCTGTGCATAAATCTTTTTATGTATTCATCCTGCCAAGAATATGTTGCTCTGCACCTCATTCAGTCGGTTTAGAACTGAAGTGAACTGACCTAAGTTATTACAGATAACTAGGATATTGTCATATCTTCGACAGAGATGGGCTTGGCCAATTAAGTCCTCGGCCGAATTTTCCATATGTGACATAAATCTATTAGCTAAAATGGAGGTCAAATAAATTCCCTGACGAAATGTTCACCCTCGAATGTATAGTTGACATGACTTGTACATAAAAATAGTAGCTCTTTTAAATGATTCAAATAAATAAATATTGAAAAGTTATGCACAGAAATATAGTCACATAACATGTCAATTTTCTTGATGGAAGGGGCACTGGTGAATAATGAGTTTACATCAAATGAACATATACGTTTACTTTCTATCTTGATATCATCAAGGCATTTGATTACTTGAAATGTATCTTTTAAGGAATACTTATAGAATCAGTTTTAATGAAATCCAATAATTCCATTAGCTAATGAACAAGCTTATGCTTTGGCGATTCGTACACTGACATTATAGGACGTAACGGGTTGTTGGGTTTGTATACTCTGAGCGAATCTTTAAGATATGAGAATTACGATTCACTTTATTTCAGTGAATAAAATTTTTCTCTAGTAATAATGTTCATACTGAGCAGTTTCACTAGATTAGCAGTCACTGTTCCCTGTAACAACTGTACGTCTTCTGAAGAGCAATCTTCAGTAAATTTATTTTCACCTTCAAGAATAAACGACGTCTTACACTCATGTTCAATTTATCCATGATCACGACACCCGAGTCTTTGTCAGGTCTAAGGATAATAATATAGGGGGTTGTCTCGTAGTTCCTTCATAGCTATGAAATGTTGAGAAGTTAGAATGCTTTTCTTGTTTTGATGGCTATCGCAAAACTGGTCGAGGATTTCGTGGTTATTTCCGGTATGAAATACACTTGCATGAAGGAAAATAGTTGAAATTTCTACGGGAAAATTTCCATCAAAATAACAGTAATTTTATGTTAGATTTTGGTGCATGTTTTACATGAATTTGACTGAGTTAAATACTTTCTTTGCATTTTATATTTCCATTTCTCTTCAGTGATGCAACAGGATGACTCATCTGACTATCAAAATGACTTTCCCTTGGGTTGGTTTTCTGTGTTGTGCTCTATTGAGTATTTTCTGCAAAAAGATGCATGTGTGGCACTTTCAGGAATCTGAAGTATTTATTTCGCCGGAACACTGCCTTTTCTGAAGAGCAACGAAAATGCCTGGTTATTGTGTGATTTGAAGACAGTGTGCATAACTGACCTGCATGAACTCGAAGACCATTGAAATAAAGGGGACAATGAGTAGTTATGTTATCTTGATATGGGATTACTGGGCGAAGCAGGACATTCACCATAGGTGGGGCTGGGCTAACCTTTCTGATCATATCTGGCGGTATAATGTGCGTTATGAATAGCCACACAAACAGAAATATGTGGCCCACAGATCATTGGTTCTCAGTAAGACTTTGGAACATGATGGCTGTTTTGCAGTTCTCTGAGCTTTGAAGTTTATTTTTGGATGTTCCATCACCAGGTTAGGTGACTGTAACAATACATGTTTTTATCAAAATACATTCAGAACACATATTTTGGAACGAGTAGTTAATGAACAATATTTCAAGGGTAATCAAATGATTTTTATTGAGCTGTTCTATCCTGAAACTATTTGTTAGGTTACATCAAGAAACAGTTTCGTCCTCTTAAATAAGGATAGATACCCACTGATGACATTCGATGGGGATCATACTATACTTTCAAACAAATGACGTTAAAAGATATTGGAAATTGGATTCTAGCACAGGGAATGAGTTATTACTTGTGCATCCACAATCCCAAATACCTTCATTTATGTATACAGTTAAGCGCACATCGCAGGGGGTCCTGTGGTATTCAGCCCTGGTATTCAATACATCCCTGACTCATTTCTACATAAGAAAGCTAATCAGAAGAACAGTAAATTCCTATCTCCAACTCAATGGTTTATTGGTGAAACTCATTATAGCATTATTAAGAGTATTGTAATACTTGCACCGGAAAAATATCCACTGTTCCTTGATTGTTTTCTTATTTCTGTTATAACTTTTGTATCTGTCGATCGTAACTGTATTCTGAATGTTGTATACATTGTTTTGTGAAATAAGTGTTTTTGTTGGTGTGAATTTATTGCTTCTATAAACCTCTAGGTTTGCCGTTCAATATACTTAGGTGACCGAGCAAGCCTATTTCATTTCATTTACTACAGGAGGTCGTTTATGCTCACCTGGACGGTTTGGACCTGATTGCAGTTTCACTTGTGCACACTGTGAAAATGGGGGTCAGTGTAATCGAGATTTGACAGGATGCGAGTGTGCCTCTGGTTACAGAGGACTAAGATGTGAAGAGAAATGTCCGAAGGTAAGAATTCAAAATGGTATAATTGCATAATCATTAATTTGATTCAAAATATAATATCGTTAGTGTTTGTGGTGTGAGTGATTTTCACGCATCATACTTCATTCATAGGCAGTGTTGTACGCAAGCACCTGTTCTCACAAATGTTATTAAAATCGTTAGGCTTATGAGATTCAAGGAATCACTACCAAGCACCAGTATTTTTTAATTCTCTGTTGTGATTTTTTAATTTCTATAGGTTCAAGAACACAAAAACAACTCTACCTCACGTGTTTCTTGTCCATAGTTCATTGGTAGATATTGGCTAGTGATAAGTGATCTAACAGCTTTATAATATCTACTATTCAATAGTCTCAGAGGCTAGACTTTTGTAACAACTCGACCGAATTTTTGATTCCAAACTAAGATGTAAACCTCACCTTGGTATCAGAATTTCACTATTTTGGAGGGTTTCTGTTTACAGCATTTATGGTTTTTATTCATAATTTGGCGTCACCTTAATGATTAATGGGAGTCGAGGAATGTCAGACTGTCATCAAACCGTATCACTAGATTCCTCAGCAGCACTCAAATCGATTATCTGAAACCCTCTGAAAAACAATGTTATGCATAGCACAAAATGATGAGTTATGCTGCATGAAAAAATGACTCACATTCTGAATATCAAACGCTAAAATCCAATCAGTCCGTTTGCTCAGATGCGACTGTATTAATTCTGTAGCCTGACAACGATCAGTACAGTTTTCAGACGCCCCTTGAGTAAAAGTTACTCTATAGTCTTGAAAAAAATGAGAAAGTGTAGCTTCTCTCTTTTATCTGGCACAGTGACTGAAATTATTTTCTGATTGAAACCATTTACTACCAGGGGTTGCTAATGACAAAGTCTGTTTGGCGTTTTAAAAGATGAAGAACTCAGATTTTGTTGGGACATAGTACTTCATATGTATGAACTGAATTCAGTCAGCAGACTGACTAAAATAATAATGGCAAATTAATGGCAACCCTATTGGTCTGCACCTGTCCATTCAAGCTCATAAGTTCAATGCAACTATTCATCTCCGGATATTTAAACAGTCGCTTGTAACTCTCATTTCCCAGTCGTAAAATCTGATTTTAGTAGGATGAAGGACTAGATGGTTCACTAAGAAGAGCGAGCAGGCAAGATACAAAAGCTTATAAGTAAGGCAGCGGAAAATAACAGCCAAAAAATGTGAACATTGCATCATCGGATACTTTAATTTATAGTTCATTATGTCTACAACTATACATACTTCCAATTGATTTACAATTTCCTGCCTGTTAACCCTGTCATCTTCCTAGGGCCTATGGGGTGTGGACTGTGGACAATATTGTGATTGTGCAAATAATGCATTTTGTGATCCCACAAGTGGTGTTTGTCAGTGCCCACTAGGCACTCATGGTGCAAGTTGCGAACTATCTGGATGTCAAGCAGGTTTCTGGGGCCCTCAGTGTGATCGTTTGTGTCCAAGTCATTGTGCTACAAATCAGTGTGACCGTGCAAAAGGACACTGCACATGTTCTCCAGGAATATATGGATCACACTGTCACTTAAGTTGTCCTGAAAACACATGGGGTGAAATGTGCAGTCTCAAGTGTCCTTCGGAATGTTCAGAAAATGGCAGAAATACAAAAGGTTGTGACCCTCAGGTATGTTAACCGTTGGTGAAAATTATATTACTAGTGAAACTAATTAGTCCAACTGCAAGTGAATGTTTTAAAGAATTCAAAATAGTCACTCAGAAGGTGAAATGAGAGGTTATGTGTGGAAAAATGCCTATGAGTGTTCAGTTGCTACAATATACTTTTTAAGTACTCATGTATTCAACTCAAGTATGTGATTAGGTATAAAAGATCAAGTGATCAACAAGAGGCATTGCAGGTAACGTCTGGTAAATCAGCATTTACATCCGATGACTGTTATTTCGAGATAATATGGATGTAGTAGTTATTTAAGTCTCAGATACTAAGAAGTTCGTAACAGTAAAAATAATCTAGCCTTTAACCTAAGTGTATTATCGTCTAGCTTAACAAAATTACTGTTTTAGACCTATACATCAACGAAAAGATGAAAAGCATTGTTGAGCTGCATATTACTACGAGTATCATTAGATTTCGGGAAAAACTTCAGTTCCATATATCAAATAAGTCCAGTGTAAAGTCTGCAAGTAGACGGCTTTGTCGTTGATTACGGTTATCGCTGACAAAATCTACTTATTTCACTTCTGTGTTGAACTACAATTGTCATCCATTAGAACTTACATCCTACTTTTTTGTGTGACATACATTTAGACAGGTGAATGTGTATGCAAACCTGGATTTCGACCACCTGAATGTATACTTCCGTGTCCACCTTCATATTTTGGTTACAACTGCATGATGACATGCTTTGATTGTCCTAATGGCTGTGATCCAGTGACTGGAAGATGTTTGTTTGAATGTCCACCAGGTAAACATGGACCAACATGTGAAGAAGGTAAGCCATATGATGACTATAAAGAGAATTCATGACTATTTTTATTTGATTTTGAATCTGATAAAAAAATGTTTTTCACTTCATACTATGGAACCCTATGAAATTGGACAGTTTTCATTATCATACACGAGTTCATTGTGCTATTTATACAGTAGTTAAGAAGTGCAATAGCGATCGAACATACGGTATGTAATCTGAAGGTGTTCATCACATAATTTCAGCTGTACTTCAGTAGTCAAAGAATAACTGTATTTTTTTAATTTGAAAATGTGACCAACTTGAATTTACGTAATTCATAAAAACAGGGTTTCATCAATAAATTAAGACTCTGTTTAGTAAGTTAGCCAAGAGTCTTCAGAAGTCATTATGGCATTATGAATTTTGCACTTCGCTAAGAATAAAATAAAAACAGTTACGAAAAGTTGTTTACCTCTTTACATTCACTTAACATCGGAACTGTTGATAAAGTTATGCTGTGATACGAGTAATCTCCAATACATCATAGGATTACTGGAACAGTTAGAATGTATAGACGACTGAAATACTATTAAATCACACCTCCTAAATTAAGACTAATACGCTTAAGAAGACTACTGCTTCAACTTGCTGTTACACTTTATGAGAATGGTTATTAATCTAATTGTTTTTCAATAGCTAATTAGTCATCTTCATCTTGGTAACCAGCAGTGGAATCCAAGATGAGCGTTTCTTCCGATTTGGAACTTGTCAGCTGGATGTATCTACACTCCAGTGAGTCATGTTGCTCCCACTGAAACGCCAGTCTAGTCGCATTTCTTTGAGCTCCAAAGCGTTATCCACCAGTTTGTCATCATCCAGACCATGAAGATTTGGCTGTATCCAGTCATCAGCGTAGAAAACTCATCCGCCAAAAGAGGCTGAGCATTTCAACCCAGTATAGCAACGGGAAACTGCAAGTATCAAACAACAGTTAATTAGTTAGTTTGACTCATTTTCATGAAACAGATGTTGTAACATACCTAGCTGGAATAAAGTGTCTTTGACCTACATTCTTATTTTGGATGTGAAGGTTCTGATTCCCAATTGTGATTCAAATAATGCAAACGGGAAAATCCTTATCTCTTTGGTGGTTAACCTTTATATTAATGCCACATTATCAAATAAATCTTTTTCCTGAACTTCACTGAAAAGTTTTTCTTTTTTAGACTGTTTTGCTGGTTATTGGGGTCCTCAATGTTCCAAGCGTTGCAGATGTGGTTACGATGAAAAAGGAAATCTTCAAAGCTGTGATCCTGCCAGTGGTAAATGCACTTGTAAAGCAGGTTATTGGGGAGAAAAATGTGATAAGCGTAAGTGGTGCTGGCTAACTAGTTGCAAATTCTTGTCGTCATCTATTTGATTTTTATCTAGTTTCATTTGATGGAAGATTTAATGCCAATTATTAACGACTAAAATAGCCGCCCGGTGTTTAGATCATTCTGATCTGCTTTGCAAAATGTACATACCATTGTGACTGGTTTCTAGCTGCTCAGGTTGTTCAGTAATATATTCGATAGTTTATCTCTCAAGAAAAATAGGAAATTTCGGAGGAATTACTGATAATTAACATGGTAGAGTAAAGCAACTAAACAGTAGCACAAAACGCAATCAGTTTACTGTCTTGAGTAATAGCTTCTTAATTATTTGACTAAATAACCATCAGGATATTAAAAACTAAACGTGATTCGAAACTAATTTTAACTTATCCAACAAGGACCCAATGTAAATCAACAGTGCTTAGTATGCAATGAAATCAGATTAGTATGTACCAAAGTTTCACGATAAACAGTCAATTTAGTAGCGATTACATGAAAGTTCTAATCGACTACGCTTCTAAGAAATAATCATGCATACAAATAAAGTTTTTTCGCTAAAATAAGTATAGTTTCTTCTAAAGTAGAGTGAGATAACTCGACATAACAAGCACTATGTTACTAATGAAAGCAGTCGTCCTATGCAGTTTATGAAACAAACGGATATTTTTAAGAAATAATATTTCGTAATTATAGCACAGTGATTTTGCTCCAACCACACATCAGTAATTGAAACTAAGTAACACTCATGCACGCACGTTTATGTATTCAAAATACGGACACAGAAAGCTGCTTCTGTGAGTGCTTTCACAGACTAACTTGTAAGAATGTAAATATATGGTAGCCTTTTTCAAGCTAGTTATCATCACGAACTGACATCAGTTGGAGGGATATCTAAAACCTGGGAGCACTGGACAGCTGTCTCATCCTAGTATACTAAATGATGACATCAGATGAGGGTCGACAAAGGTATAAAAATACAAAACAGTGTATTTCGACCCAGGGCTCAACGGTAACGTGCTCACCATAAAACTTGAAGGCTCTGGACTTGGTGTCTGGTGGGGTCATGAGTGCGAACTCCTGAGGAGTCCCATACTAGGACAAAACAGATGTCCAGTGTCCCTAGGTTTTCAATACTTCTTAAAGTGATATAAGTCCATGATGAATACTACTTTGAAGTAAATAAACTTTTCATAAACCTCAGGCTAAACACACTTTTTGTTTTATTATCTCCTAAAATAGTGGAAAATATCTTTACTGTTATCTAAAGTTAGATGATTGATTTCCCACTGGTGGCAGATTGCATTCAAGGAGAATTGTACTCAAGCTAAAATTTTGTTTCTGCCAGAATAATTATTAATCAGATTACCACCAAAGTTAGGTCAGGGTATTAAATAACACTTTCAATCGTAAAACTTAATGGAAGAATCTCTGGTCGACAGCACACTTGCAGCTCTAATATTTATAGCTGTCTTTATCCTTTCTTTTTATCTAACAGTTCAGTGAATTTCTGTTCATTTTGCTGTCAGTCAGTTCTCAGACATTCAAAGCTACTCGTTTTATGGACGAACTAGTAAGCGTGCATAGCGTAAAGCATCCCTTGTTGAATTCACAAGATACAATCGAACTGTTTTGTTGATGTCGAACATCCGAAGTTAATATTTTTAATCGAATCATCAGATTAGTAGTTATTTAAAAGACACAATATGGAACATTGGATTCCAACCCAGTGACTGAGTGGCAAAGTGTTCACTGTGTAACTTGAAGTCTCCTGGCTTAATCCTTAGTGGAGTCGTGGATGTGCGCTACTTAGGGGTTCAAAACCGTAACAAAAAGGTTGTCCAGTGCTCCCACGTTGAGTTTTTTCCGACTGATAATAATCTGTGATGGGAATTGCCTTATACTAATAAAATCAAATAACTTGCCTTGTATCTTAGAATAAGTTTCAAAAGTGATTTGGTCTAAGATATCATGACACAGTGATCAAATCGATCTATCGAAAGAACATTCACTACTGCGAAACGCTTAGATCACTTTTTAACCAAACTACTACTGCTACAGACAATCAAGGATAAGTTATCATTGATTATCATTTTAATATTCATTTATGGGTTCAACTGCTAGTACGGAGCTAGTTATATAGGTCGTATTCAAAGATTCTTCTATATCCATGCGCGTTCGTGAATATGTACAAGCTTGGTTTGGTAAAGGAATGAAAAAATCCATAAACAGTGCAGTTATTTCTCTTATAGTAGGTAGTGAATATCAAATCAAGTTATATACCATGTTCTTTACAATATATCCAAACAGCCACGACTACTTCTCTTACTTTATAGGTGTAGGAATCAACATGAGAACACCTGGTCTACATGCTCAAAAGAAATATGCGCATCCACATGTTTATCCCAGCCCACAATAGGGTCAACACATTCTTAATGAAATTTTCCATCACAAATTTAACGTTTTAACTCCCATTCCATTCTCTCTGATTTCATCGATAAAAATTTACTTTCATACGTTATTACTTTATGTATATACGTATTAACAGTAATGTCACTAGTACTCATCTTAAACCTTTATGTGACACTTCATATTTGTTACTTCGTAATTGTATTCTTGTGATTTTCCACCCTACTCAAGTATACTCAATCACTACAAAATGATAATTTGCCCTTGAGTATACGAACACAACAAACAAACCCTTATACCTCAGATATATGATCTCTAGATTTCTGTCTCCCTAGATCCATATAAAAAGTGTTTATCTCAGCATTGAAAACAAAATTAATCACCATACAAATTTTATTTGAGTCCATTTTTCACATTGAACTTTAACTGAAAAATGGTACATGATTTTTGAGTCCATAACAAAGTCAATTTACAACGAACCCACAAGACACTGTCCAACACCTTTTAACCCACTATTGCTTCTGTTAAGGTAGCGTAATTCCTAACTATGAAGTTTTCATGTAAAACTAGTAATTTCCACAAGCAAAGTAATTTTGAATAAAAATCTATGTAAACATTGTGGGTTTGAGTAGGATTGGAACTGCTGTCACTAGTCTACGATCTTTCAGCTTTATACTTTGATTTATCGAAGTCAAATACTAATTAGATTCACGTATATGAGTGGGACTTGAGATTCATCATACTAGCAACTTGACCACGTCCTCGTGTTCACATTCCACGGTGTATTCCGAATTCTTTGATTTCTCAGTGAGATCCTGACAAAATTTCCTATGGGCACGTTGAGCAATTTTTCCATTCTCACTCTCGACTTTGTAGTTTGCATAGAACTGAATTGATTCCAGATGGGTTAGGGTTGATGAGTTCTACAGTAGCGTAGAATGAGGTGCTCTAAATAGCAATGTTTATGAAAAGCTTGGAAAGAGTAGGTATCTTTACCATGATCATTACCATTTTAGTTGTATTAATTATTGAAGGGTAAGTTAATTTAGATGTATGCTTATGCATTATATCCATTTTCTTTAAAATCTCTGAAATGAGTCATGAAAGAGTGTTTGCTTTGCACTTGTTATTAAAAAATTCCTCAATCGCTGATAGGTTGAAGAGATATAGTCAAATGATACAGTGAGAGGGCATATTAAGACCTAGATTTCTCCAAGTTTGGAATCTTGTAGAGAAATGTCTTCTCTCTACTTGATATGCAAACACTTGCCGACCAAAGTTTACATATTCATTTTGTGTGTATAATTAAGAATAGCTTTGATAGAAATGACGGTATTATGTTCACTATTTTGATCAAGAAATTCCTAATCTGTTATAAAAGTATTCAGTAGATTACTTCTTGTTGGGTTGCTTTAATGGGCAGAGTTTTTCTGTTATCAAATCGTTGTATTTTGTTGAAACTGTACTGCTATTTTTTATTTAGCTTGTGAAGTTGGCAATTATGGCCCAAACTGTCGATTTCAATGTCAGTGTGGAACAAGTAGGAATAGATGTGATCCAGTTACTGGTCTATGTCAATGTTCAGATGGGATGATGAGGTATAAATGTAATATGCGTAAGTGATATATTGTTGTACTTAATCCAAATTCTAAGGTGAACTTTATCGACATCATCAAGTAGACCTTTTACCACAGACCACACCGTGAACTTGATGAATAAACTACAATAGCAATACAGTATTGAGGAACAGAAAGTCATATCCATAGCCATCCGCTTACCAACTTGAGTACACGAAGCATTCCCAGACGACATCAACTGTAAACTGATTCACTTTGTGTTAATCGCTTCGGATTCAGAATTGAGTGACGCTGGTTGGAATCTCTGATAAAAAGTATATTTCCTGAATGCTGATGTCAGGCCTTTTTGTTGAATGACGTTCAAGAAATATTACTAACCGACTCTCAAAGTTTAACACCTAACTACTGTTGGTGTATTATTTGTTAGGCTACAGAATAGCTTCAGTGCTAGGTACAAGAATTTTCAACCAACTTCCTGAATACGAAGTCGTTGAGATACTATACACTGAGTTGGCCTACTTTAATATTGGTTTCATAAGCTGCCTGCAGTAAACAATAAACAACTAGTAGAAATTCTAAAACGTAAGGAAGTTTTTAGGATAAAGTTTCAGTCTACAGCATATATATATATACCGAGTTATAATTACCGATTAGGCACAAGTTTTGGTGAGAATATGCCATAAATAAAGCGTCACGTCTTATGGTGGATTGCATAGCTATGTGTTTTAAACTCTTATAGACTGTTAATAAACCTCAAAACCAATGTATTCAAGAACGTTTTGTTTTCGGAAATTATCAGTGAAATGGCTTATGAAACATGCAGTTTGGTTACGCATTAGCTACAAACTATTTGACAATTAAGTGATTTTGAAAGCCACCCTAACAACTGCTGAGATAACCAATCATATTTCTGTATTTTAAAATAACTACCTTCCCACCCGAAATACCGAAAGCTGATTCGCGATATCAGCAGTTGCCACCGTGGTCTTTAATGTCGCTCCCGACAATGAACTATGAAATTTGCCTAAAAGCTTACTTTGTACGCATGTTTTGCGTGAAACAAGCTGACAGTCGGTTCCAGTTTTCAGCACAGACCAAAATTAGTGAACAACGAGACAAAATTTAATGTAGTTTTTCGTAATAGTTATTAGTCATCAACAATTTATTTATGTAGCCTACTGATTAGAATGGAGGAAACCGTATAATCCTACAGGCGGTTGGTCATTCAGTGAATACACCTACACTTAAGCCATTGGCTCCAGTGCAGCATGACACACATTTGAACAGTAAATAACACCAATAATAATAGGATGGTTTGACTTTGATGTTAAAGCTTGTAAGTCTTCGTCGTTGACTGGACCGAATTGATCGGTTTAGTTTGACATATGGGCACCTACATGGGTGCCTCCAGATCGCCTATATTTTCAATTTGGTATCAATGGCGAAGAGTAGCTAGCAGCGAAACCAAAGACGCCTGTTTTGTCTTACTTGGGGGTAGTCAGATGGGTGTATCTGCGTTTCAATAAGTAACACTGTTCCCACCAGGCCTTGAGCCCAGAAGAAAGCGATTCAAACGCCAGAGCGTTATTCCCTAGTCCACTAATTTGCTGTTTGAAAGAAGAAATTCACAAGATTATTAAGAAATTAAGTACCATTCGGAATAAAATTGAACAACCTAGTCCACTAAGTCAAAATAGCCACACCTTTTGCGTTGAATATAGCATGGATTTGATGTTATGGCTTTTAAATCATTATCATTGATTGAACTGAAATGCGTGGTTAGAGTTTTAGTGAAATATCACTCACTAAGAGATAAGTATATCCATCTGGTGAGTGTCAGATAGGACGAAACGAGAGTCCTGTATTCCACTGCCAGCTACTATTCATGATTAACATCAATGATAACCATAGGCATTAATACTTTCTAGTTTCAGATACACACTGAGAAACACTACCGGCTTACATGATGCTTACTTTTGACGCTTCCCTATCCAGCGATTCAGGCGAACACAAGTAGTTTTCTGCATTTCCCTACGCATATTTTTGTCTCCAAACGCCAATAACTAGTCTTTATTTTCATACCAAAATGATTATAAGTTTAAAATGAACTTCAGTTTCATCTTAAGTGATATGTGATTAACATAGATAGCTTTTTAACCCTTATCTACACTATATTAAGCTCAAGTTATTAGGGAAAACCAGCAACGAGTGCTCAAAGGAAAGATGTAACCGGAGGGAAATGAGGCAAAGAAGGCGAGTGTAACATGCAAATGTAACCTCTCATTGTACTGATACTATACTCAGTTTTCATAACTTTATTAGCCAAAGACAAAGGTATTTAAACGTAGTTTTCCCCATTAATTTGCATTGTCTAGAAAAACACCTGATAAGGACAATTAAAAGTGCTTTGTAATCTGCTGCCTTAGCGTATATCACCCGACTTAAAGCTAGTAAGTTATTTGCCTTGAGATGGATTTCCCTACCCTTTAATAATATATAGTCAAAACCCTTAGAGCTAAGTAAGTCATGTGTGAAGAAGTATGCTTATCGATGACATTAGAGGATAACCACACATTACAAGAGAATAACAAAAACTGACTAATGCCCACAATGCAATCCCTACCCTGGTGAATAGAAGGCAGTATGTTGGCCGAAAAACCTAATTTTCCCTAGGTCTATCCTTCGTGAGTTATTTGATTTCACTACTAAACTTTTTTACACTATGACTGAACACTTGTTCATTCCCACCTACTTTCTGAAGCTGTCATGTAAAATATCTCGAAATCAGTCAGTTGCCCATAAAATACCACTGTAAATGGCAGTACATCTTTTCCAAGTATTTTATTGAGCAACTAATGCACTACAAAGTGAATAGTTACATATATGATTCACTTATTTAGTACTATATTCTCTGGCGTGCTTAAAATAGGTTGTAGTTGAGTTCTTCTAAAGAATGTTTCAGTAAATCAGTTCCCTGTGATGAACAGGAGTAATCCAAAGCTTTATGAACTTAGCCCAAAGTAATCGTTGTCACGGTGTTCAGTGTCACGTAATCAGTTTCATGATTGTAGAAGTTAGACTAAGATTGGAATCTGTTGCATAATTTTTTCGCTGTGATGACTGAAGACTCATAACTTCATTTATTTATTTATTTCATTTGACTTCGCTATGCAATATACTTAATTGCTTACATTTTTGACCTTATTTACAGAAAATGATTTCTATGCAATAGATGAGGAACCATGTAAGTTGATAAATAATGCTGAGCGAAAACCGAATGTGTATTATTTGAATGCTCACTTCTAGAAAAATGCATTTATTTATTTACTTTGATATGCCGTATGCAGAATATGTAAGATAGAAATTGAAAGGTAAAAGTCTTAGAATTCTACACTTAGATGATTATAATACTAGTATAGAGCATAAGTCATGCAGTAAACTACGGAAACTCGAGTAAAAACGATGTTGTAACTTCTCAATGAGTTTGTTGCCAGTCCTACTCGAGAAAAAGTGTACATCTTGGTGGGTACCTAATGGTTATGAAAAGTAAGCATGCCTAATTCTGATCCCAGTTATTACTGATTTCTTTTCCATATCTGTATTCACATATTTTACAGGTTTCCTACTACTGTATAATAAACTGACTCATTCGTTTGCATTATAACAAAATCGTCTGAAGTTTCTGCAGTTGGTCTACAGGTGGTAGGCAGCATCACTTTTCAAATGAATTTTTCAACAATTTTAATACAGTTTGCTATAAACGCGAAATGTAATTGTTCCTATCACATTTTCGATAAATGCTGAAGCACAAATCTCAATCGATTTCTAATAGTTGACATACCGACTGGATACATGCAAAGGTGCATAGAAAGCTGAAACCTATTAGAATGTTTGATCAACAAAAAACTAATGTATGCGCCTTTTGAATAAATATCTATATAAGCGCTACTCTGAATAAAGTTATTCAGCTATTGACTAAACTCTAAGACTTCAAATTTCGGGTTGTATTTATTTTTTTCAGTGTTTCTTGTAAAGCGTGATCCCATGTTATTTTCTAAAAAACTTTTAGTGAGACAATTAAATATGAGTATCATGAGGGTTATTTTTCGTCCAACAAACAAACACAAACAGTAGTAACCTGCTGTAATACGCATCACACTTCAAAAATCCAAACAGACTACATGTAAATTAAATAAAGAAATACAAACAGCATAATAATGACTTTCATACTTCTAAGAACCATTTGTTTCAGGCTTTTTCGCTTACAACCCAAACAACTTACAGTATTATTCTTGTTCAGCTAATAATTTGGTAGACATACACTGTGAGCGTTTACTAGCCTAATGTTGTTCCATCATTTTCAAATATCAAAAGGTCCGAGATTTACTCCTAGACCATTAGCAGAAGAATACCACTCCACTGCATAATTTGAAGTTTTTATGATAACTGGTGGCAAAACACTAGAAAAGTCAAGTAACTGAGTATCTTCTGGTAAAGAATATATTTACTAAATCATCTGCTTATTTTGTTTCTTGATGGGACAGTTAGTCTTGCCAACAATAATAGGATGTATAAAACTTTGATGCCATTGTAAGAGTACACTTCATCTCACTGAAATATGGTTCCATACAATCATAGAAGACGCTGTTAAACATGTAACGGATTTCAAAACATTTACACTTGTTATTTTCAACACTAATTTCAGGCAATATCTTCATGTGTTACAAATGCTATTTCGGCTTCTTACACCATCATTAGCATTCTTAAAGAATACCCACATGCAGTACAAGTGTCAGGTGACTGGGGTAGTCTGGAAGGTGAACATTCTATTCGGTGAAATCCACGTCGACTACCAGCTTGAGAGAAGGAAATACGCTTCAAATGTGCCAACCAGTAGTGCGCTATGCTCAATCACATAACATATGAAAACACAAAAGACGATTGCAGAGAAAAAAACATTCTTTTCGATGAAATCATCCTCTTAATCATACATTCTTGAATATATAGTGAAAAGGATAGGACATTCCAGAGTAATTCCTGGTCAAAGGCCATAAATTGCTTCTTAAGGCAAAGTTACGTAATGAGAAATAATCAAAACGGTTGCAACTGTTTTTAGGGGGTAAGCACTAGTATGATAAGCTACTTGGAATAAGGAAAACTGGTGATTAAATTTTTTTCGTACACTTCGTAAAAGTTATTTTGTTGTTGTTATTTTACATTTCATATCCTTGACCTAACTATTTGAATCCTACTCACATTAGCTCTTAGTTAACATAAATTTAATGACTTTTCACACATTTTATGCAATGTTCCTAATACGTTGAATACACTTGTCTACCCCATTTATTCAAACTTCCGCTCTGGAATATGCATCTATTCTTTCAGTTTCATAAATTTATTCACTCAACTAGTGTGTTTTCAATCACTTTATATCGATGATATCCTTAATTCAAGCCGACAATTTCCCATCAAACCAATTCGAGCATGCAAACACCCTACATGAATTAATGTTAAAACAGTTTTAGGTTGTAAGCATCTGACGGGAATCACGAAATAAAATAGATCCATGCTATTCTGCTGCTCATCCTCTATTTCAGTATTTGAAGAGAAAGAAATGTATAAAAAGTATAGAGTTTGGTAAATAAAATATATGCAAGTGTGGACTAACTTCTAAGCTCAATGAATTGAACATGCTGTAAATGTTATTTTCATTACAACAAACAACACCAGTGAGATTCCTTCTTTCTGACTTTCTTGTTGTAGCCTGCCCACCAGGTAGGTGGGGTAAATCCTGTACAGAAATTTGTGATTGCAATAACAGTGTTGAATGTAATAAAGAAACCGGAGTATGTATATGTTTCCCTGGATTCATTGGTAATAAATGCGACCAAAGTGAGTTACATAATATATCATGTCTTCATAGGCTTTTTGAATTTTTCCATGATTTACTCAGTAGTGTAAAGACAAAATGTCACGGAGTAATTGATATCTGCCACTAGATAGACTTTTATTTCACATACGAATTTCCTTTCATGGATTCGAAAAGAGCAAGAACAACAATGGGAGAGTAGGATAAAACGGATCCATTTTATTTCGGTGTTATATTAACTGCTTGCAACCCCTAAAATGCTAGGATGTATAGTTTTGCTGAAAACTTGATATACTTTAATTCGTCGCATTAGTTGTATTTTCACTTGTGTAATTCATTCAAAAAGAACAGCACATCGCTAAGTGATTAGGATGAACAGAAAGTAAAGGTCAATCTAAATGGCAAATTCAAGGAGAGTTGATAAATGGTCATAAGTGTATACATAGTCTAAGGAAGTGGAATCCAGGATGGGCATTTCATCCTATTTGGGACTCGTCAGCTGGATGTACCTGCTTCCCAGCAAGTGATGTTGTTCCCACCGTATTTTGGGCTCGGGAGCGATCGCTTTAAACTCCAGTGCGTTATCCAACGTCGCTCACTGTGAAGCAGGTACGTCCAGCTGACGAGTCCCAAATAGGACGAAATGCGCATCGTGGATTCCACTGCTAGCCACTGCCCATCATTACTAAACACAGTTAAAAGACAGGCAATATCGAGGCGTCCGCATAGGAGCCCATATGCCAACAGAGACTGATCACTTCGGTCCAAATAACAACGGTATGATATAAAAACAAATATACTAATAGTCTAAGGAAGTTTCATGAATAAAATAATACCAAAAGTAGTGATCAGAATACTGAGGTACTGAACACTATAAGATTGGGCAATTAGGTCAAAAATAATCGAAATATTGTGAGTTAAGTTTAGTTAGTTAAAGCATTCGATGTGAGCAAAACATGATCCAACTGAATAAGACAGAGAATAAGCATCCAACGTTGATAAATGATGATACAATCAAATAACAGTCAAGATGCGTTACCGAGGTAGGGAGAGATTAAATATAACTTCTTTTTAAACACATAAATCAGGTTTGGGGCGTTTAATGGTTATAGGTTCAGTAGAATTGAGTTTCTTGGCATGTTTACTGTCTTGAAGGAAGTGAAAAAGTCTCCTTACTGTTTAAAGTCAGCCAGATGCCAAGTGATTGAATAAGAGTAAAACTTGAGCATTGTGGTAGAATAAAATTCCATTCTAATTGATTTACTAGATGCATTACGCACTCAAACTGTACTATTTACTGGAGCACTTTTCGGACATAATTTATTGTCCAGGGTCATATCAAGGTAATTCTAAATCTGAAACATTGTTTATGTAGTTTTATTTCTGCTCCTTCATCTGTTGTACGCGGAAAAGACTTCCATATATCTGGAACAGGTGCTTGCTCTCTCCTGTAGCACATATTCGCTGTTGTTTCGACTATAAAATATTTGGTTTTCAATCTCTTTGTTAGGTTGACTAAATTAGTTTTAAGGACTGTCAACCTGTCTGATCCTACTGTGCGGTTGTGTGTGATTCCGTGTATAGCTGTAACCGAGCCTATTTATAGATTTATCACACTAAAATCTATTAATCTTGATTTAGCCGGGTTTTGTGCTCTATCACCATAATAATATTGTTTCCTTATGTGATACATTCAATCAATCAAATAATATGAAATTTTTACTTGAATAGTTTTGTAAACCATTTGGGGACCATTTGTTGTAAGATCTTCATCGAGATTATGTTCAATAGACTCACCAATACACAAGGCTAAGGTACGAGAACAACAGAAGATGTGTTCCGATGATATGTATAGCCGAATATATATACAAAAAATGATTAGAACAATGCAAAACGATGATACACCAAAATTACAATAGATCATTTCAAAAGACACTGTAAGGTGAATAAGGAAGATTTCAGATGAACGAGTATGGTCACTTAGGTTTCCCAGAAGCATCAGCATCCTTTAAGTATCCTTTGTAGATCAACTTGAAGGGAAAGGCATTAGAAGAAGCCTAATAAATTTTGTGCGATCGGCAATGTTTACTGTGATACGTTTCATGATCTGACCATTCCTAAAATTGAGCCTAACATAAATGTATCATACAGTGTGAACTAGCCAGTTGTGCTCTACAGTCCAGAGCTGCTATAATACCAGGTTTACAAAAAAAGTGCCATTTCGATAAGTAGTCATCTATGTTACTGTATAAATGTGAGTAATGACAAACTTCTGTTATATTGAATAGACAGGTTATGCATACAAATTTGTAACCTTTAAATTGTTCTTCGAATGGAAGAAATAATTGAACTCATAAAATAATAACAGCCACCTAAAATGATCGATTCTGTCACTGAACATGTTTAAAAGCATCACGCTACACTGACAGAGATGGGTGCTAAAAGGCTCCTAACAGGACTTGGTTATTCCAAGAAATATGGCACATTAAAGTCGTTCCATGAGCCATGGTAAGTGTAGGTAACAGGAATGAAACAGTGAGACGAATTAAACACCTTTACTTGACTGGTAAATATGTCTGTGTTACTTTCATCATTTCATATGTGTTCTACAAGAATTCATATACCACGGATCGAACAAGTGGAAGAACACTAGAAACCACATAGTTATAAAGCTACATCATTAGCAGATATGAGGAAATTTACCCTAAATTTTTGTCGTTTGAATTCACGGGAGCCTAAAGAAGAATTAGAGTAGTGCTATGAATATTTGCTACTCACTCATGTTTCTTGTCTAACCATACAATCGCAAAAGGATACCAGTAAACATATCGGACTTTGAGTCCTTATTTTGGACACATAACTTTAAGGTCCCGCTATTCTTCAGTGTTGATATTAGACGAATCCTAATAGGATTTTGCTGAGTAATTCTGTTGCAAGACCATCTTAGCTCCAATAAGAAGATTCATAACAAGCACGAGTTATTTCATAGGTCAATTAATCTTGATATTAGGCATGTTGTATCGGTTACTTCGAAAACTGAGTGAACTCCGTACGATTCCTGGTTTCAAGGTGTGCATAACTGAAGAGTTGCAGGATGAAACAAAACAGCCGTCAAGCTTTTCTTAGTGTTCAGAGGTTTTTTTACAGTAACGCATTACTAACATTAAAATAATCAACTCTGCAAAAACGAACTCCACAAAACAAGCTACTTCTGGACCGAGTTGTGTAAAGTGATTGCGGAATAGTGGACGAAATCAATCACTGACTGGATATCACACGTTATATTGCTCTGGATAAATAATGAGTATGGATATATTTTCCTGTGATCTTAATTCTTAGGTTGCATAACATATCACTGCTCTCCTGCTTGTCCTCACTGTCCTCTCGGATTGGTTTTCCATTTCATTTTGATAATGTCATTGCTCTGCTTGCGATGTTCAGCGGTATAAAACAGATGACTACTGTTTGAATTCCGTCTACCGGATATTTATCGCAATATTATTAGGTGAAAATTCATTTTAAGGCAGCATTGAAACTAAAGTCCATGTGAATTGAACTCTTCCCCTTATAATCTTTACTTGCAGAATGTGAAAAAGGGAAATATGGACCTAATTGCACGGAAACATGTGCATGTGTACACGGAACTTGTGATCATCGTTCTGGAGCTTGTGAATGTGAACCGGGTTGGAGAAATATGCTGTGTAATAAACAGTGTGCACCAGGTTTCTATGGTTTAGATTGTCAAGAAAGATGCCAGTGTACAAATGGTGCAGAATGCGATCCCGTTACTGGTAACTGTGAATGTAGTGAAGGTAAAAATTATCTTTTAAATAAAATTTAATTTCTTATCTCTGAAAAAACAAAAGTGCATCTAAACTCTGGTATGAGATACCTTTCATCGATGAAACCAAGTCGTCATATAGGTCCTACATTTCCCGTTACCTGAATCCAACCACTAAGTACTAAAATATAGATAAAATATATTTATAAAATCCTAACGAGGTACAAGAATAAGTTTCTGACATTCCCCGACCTTATGGAAGCCACTACTTTAGAGAATAAAACCTGTACAAGTTATCGCATATTTAAATTGTAAATGAGATAAATCAGATCACATTGTTCATACTTGATAGTAATATGGAAAAAAATGTCATCGTTATCAGTTCTAGGTGAAGATATGAATGTATGCACATGTGAATAGGTATGGAAAAAAGAATACCGTATATGAGAAGTTCACTTTTTTTGTATTTAAATGTACTTTAGTTATGACTATTGTGTGCAAAGTGCTATTTTGGATATCCTGTCCGAGTTGGTTAGATGGTTAGGCATTCTTTTCTGTTTAGTCCATTAGGGTTCAGTATAATGTGAAATGCCTCAACTATTCATCTTTCTTTGTAGTTTGGAATTTTTGAATAATTTTAATATTTTCAATTTCGATTCTGTGACTATGATAAATGGGATTAATAATAATTACCGATTTGATTTGTAAGTTTTCCAGTTCTATAAGATTATTAAGTGGTTGTTTTGGTGGAATAATGGAACTATCTTACTAACCTAAAACTCTTTATTTGATTTTCTTCCTGGATTCTTCTGCTCATGGTTTTTAATCTTTAAAACGAAATTTATTATCCTACGTAATTGGTATTTTACAGGTATATTTCATTTATAATCAAGTCACTTAGTTTATTAAGCAGATGTTAAGTTTAGTCGACATGATATGGTCGATGTATGCTATGATCTAAATAATGCGACACTGATTACTTACCACATGATGACTAATCAAGTCGATAGAATCACTCCATTTTCTGGTTTACTTGCAAATGGTGAAGGTTTGTATTTTCCTCACCATTACTAAATATCTCAACTTAGTTTGATTTTACTTACCTGGTGAGGAAATTGCTAGCAGTAAGTTACTCTTATTGAAGGTACCACTTTAAGAGAATCCTCTGTGCAGTCGAAATAAAGTCAAGCTTGAAACTAAAATGTTCGTAATCTGTCCATGAATTAGTTATCTTTTTAGTTAGTATACTTTGTTTTGAAGTAATCATCTTGATCCACGAGTACTGCGGTGCACTGTTTTATCAGCTAGGAGTATAATTATGTTCTTTGTATGCTTCAGTTTCTAAAGAGCTCTTTGTTCTTCATTGGTGAGCTGAGTACAGTTTTTCCTACTCCTGCTCAGAGGTATGATTCCTTGCCCTATTTTCTGTTGAATCTCATTGTTCAGTTTCTGAAGTTTTCAGTGGTGACTTTAGGGATGCAAAGAGTTCTGGTCTTGAAGCATATCCTATACTGTAATATAGTTCTTTCCGAAGGAGTTCCACGGATTTGGTCAGGGGTTGTTTGGACATGTTGATTATACAGTCACTTGCTTCTTCCCTCCCAGATCCTCGTAATTTTGAAATCTTGAGAAGCTTCTCTCGAAGGATGTTTCTTCTTTGTTCTTTGTGTCACTTGCTTGATTCTTCAATCTCACTTTCCAACGTTATGGAGTGCTCTGTTGTCAATTTCTCCAGAAGCTTTCTCTTTTGGATGTCAACTGTCTGTTGATAAATCCAAATCTGAAGTTTGTGCTGATGTTTTTGTCTGGAATAACAACAAAGGCTTCACGATTAAACCATCCACCTCAGAGAACATAATACCATCAAAATAATTTTAGTTCATTTATTGTCCTTTTTCGTGGTTACAATGAATTTTAGGATTTTAATCTTTCACAGTAATAATTTATTTTACAGTACAACTCTTTTTGCTGATTTATCCAAAATATTAGGTTGGTATGGACCAGCATGCGATCAACCCTGCCCAGAAGGTACCTATGGCAAAAACTGTACAAAAAAGTGCAACTGTGCCGAAGATGTCTCAGGTATCAACTGCGACAAAGTCACGGGAAGATGCATTTGTCCCCCGGGACGTACCGGTCCTAGGTGTTCTGAGTTATGTCCCAATGGATTTTGGGGAGAAGGGTGCTCAAGAACTTGTGCATGTCTAAGGGGAGCGACTTGTGACTCTGTAAGTGGTAAGTGTCGCTGCGGCTCAGGCTGGCATGGTGAGGCTTGTGAGCTACCGTGTCCAAACGGGTATTGGGGTGAAGGCTGTTCTATCCGTTGTCAATGTTCAGCAAATCCCCGAATTTCAGAAGGCGGTGAATGTGATAGGTTTACTGGTGAATGCCGCTGTCCTGTTGGCTTTACTGGACCAAACTGTCAAGACAGTGAGTGTTCGCACCATTTATCAAATTCAATCACGTTTACTTTCATCAAATATTTGAACTGATTTTCCCTATTTCTTTCAGCATGTCCCCCTGGACGTTATGGACCAGACTGTCGACTCAGTTGCCCATGTCAAAAACCTGGCTCTAGATGTAACTCTGAGACAGGAGCTTGTGAATGTCCACCTGGGTGGTTCGGTGAAACTTGTGAACGACCCTGCTTATTGGGATTTTACGGCATAAACTGTAAGCAAAGGTAAGCATTTCACGTTATCCATGTTGTGACGAATAAAACATAATATACTGGAGGACCATTATTTACTACATAACCAATGATTGTTCATAAGCATATCAAGGAAAGCCTACAACTCTGAAAAATGATGTTCATCAGCGATTTATTAAAATTGTAGTGGTAAGAAATATTTGTAGTCCACGTGAATTATCTTCATTGTGTTACGTACACCATTGCTGTGTGCATAATCAGCAAAAACTTCATATACTGCTTCGTCACACTGTTGTATTTGAGATATTGTTCACACTTTTCCGTAGCCTGCTTATCTTACTAGTGTCTACCATTCTGCATTGACCCATATTTCTATGCTACGGTAGCTTAACTCAATCGGTTTGACTTCTTCGTTGTATGCGTTTGACATCGTGGTCATTACATGGAATTCGACGCACCAAATTATTTCTGAAATGTTTTTAACTAATACCTACTGAATTGTAAGGTTCTGTATGCCTCTCTGATCCCAGTCCTGCTGGGAACTATGCAGTCCTCTCACATTTATGACATCATCAAGAAGAGAGAATACAAAGCCTATGCAGTGATGCTATGCAAAGAAGGAACATCATAAAATTTACTTCACTTCAGTCCAGTAAATCAACGGCAATATATGGGAATTGCATTCAATGATGATTGTTCACTGTATTCTACAAGAGACGTTACAAGCTAATTGACTTAGCATCCTTAGATTTTGGCAAATGAGCTGATTCATTAGGATACTACTCAGTTAATCTTGCAAAACTTAGTTTCTGTCTATACCGTCAAAGATAAGATTTTCTGAAAGTGTATTCACCTTTCCCTTTGAGGTCCAAGAACAGAAGATAGTGAATCCTTTTATAATTCTTTCCCTAACAGAATTCTGTGCTTGTAAATTTATCATTTGAATGAACTAACCATTGGTTCGGACACTATTTTATCTGGAAGTAGACAGTAATAGTCGATGATTCAGTAGGAAAATCATAGCGGTATGATTCACTCTTGACTTTAAAATTTTCTCTTTAATATAATCTGAGAGTTCATGACCCCAAAGAAAGGAAAGCGGAAGATATGTTCGATTTAATTTTACCGCTTAAAGCCCTGGGTATCAGAATAAAGTCACTCTTTAGTCTAAGATATGTCAAAGGGAAGAGGCATAACTCCAGAAAACGTTCCTCATGCTTTACATCTGTCTCAGGAATCATCTGCATGAATATACCTTAAAATGCCTCAAGTTTAAAGGGAACCAAACCAGTTTATCAAGTGCTAAACATATCATTTGCTACCTTGGGTATTATTTCTTATGTTGTGCTAAGCGATCTGACACTGTGGGCTACGATTGATAGACAGCGCGTTGTGGTCCCCAAGTCATGACTTGTTATGACTTTTAGGTCATCAGCGATGGCACTTTCAATGTGGATGGTTATGCAGTTGTTCTGGTTTCCCTGACCAAATAAAAAAGCACTTGAGATATGTTTGTCGACACCGGCTATATGAATCTCTTGTTTCAGTCCCTGCCAGTTTTGTTTCCAGCATAGAAAACCATATGAGATTACGACAGTCAATAATCCACGTATGTACAAGATAGATAGTAATGCATCTCATATCCTGTCTTGCTGCACTCCACTATGCACCACTTTCCAAAAACAGAGATCAGTGTTGGTACCTGTCTTCCACCTTTAATCAACAAGGAACGATCTGACATACACAAGCAGATTACCAATGGATCCGAAACTCTCTAGTTTAACTAATAACCTCGGACTCTGTGCTTTTAAGTACCCAGCTAGAAATTGTTTGGCTTCTCTTATCTTTGAATTTCACCCAAAATTTCGCTTGTCACAAAATGTTTCATATAATAGAAGTTCCAACAAACGTCATGCTGTGGAGTGGATAGGAAGAGTTCGCCTTCCACGTAAGCCATAGTAACTTTCCTGGTTATCTAACTGACCGACAGTTTGGTAGTTAGTGCGTATCCAGCATCTAGAATGCATAAGATTCCCAAACATTTATTACATATACACTAGAATGCAAACCAAACCGAGATTTGAAGGTTTGGGGAAATTTGGGCAAAAATAATGAAAATCTTATCGGTCTCTGGAACCAAATCTGTTTCCCCTGACGTTTCCAGTGTTACATTGATGTCTAATGTAGCGACTGTTTATATACCTCATTAAATCAACCTACTACAGATATTGCTTTGCCCTGATCGTCTCGAACCAGTTAGAAGGTCTCCATCTGCAACATAAGTGTTAGAACGAATCCAAAACTTGTGAACTACTCCAAAGCAATTTTTTCCATCAACATTATACTGTTTCTCCATTTTTTCACCATTTGAAATGGTAATAGGGTTTCAGCCCGTTTTCATTAACTGCGATGGACTACGAGTTTCACGCTCTATTGAAGAAGGACAGTGTTAATGCTCCATTAGTACAAAACTGTGGAATAAATATCTACACCACCTGCATCTTAGGCTGCCTACAGAATCACCACACAGCTTTAATCATAGCTTCAAAGTTAACTGTAAAGTTCCCTGAGAGCTCCACTAAACTGATAGCTGCCTTGTCGATCTCCTACGTGTTCGGTCGAGCAGGATCTCCAATTTTACACCAAAAGATAGAAGATAATGGATACAGTTTACGCCATATCCATATGAGAAGATGAACTCTAAGAATAAGGAAGCAAATAACGTGTCAGAACGCATGCCTTCTTGACTTTTACACCAGCTAGTGAACTACATGAATCGGTTACCAGTGGCATACCCATGTAACTGCTCAGTACTTAGTTCTTAGCACTAACTGAGGTTCATCGATAAAGTATGGCTTTTAATTCACTAACCGAAGTGACACAATGGTGACGTACACTGTATTTTGGTGTTACATACTGAGAATCAACTAAAAGGAAGGCATTCGGGTCAAAATAACTTCTCACTAAGTTCCAAATCTCAGCACTGAGCGACACAGGTTCGAACCATCAGTGAGACATCAGTTTCTACGGGGTTGCAGATATACCTTACTAATGAGTGCGGAAAAACATGAAACCTATGGTGGCCAGGGCTTCCTGACAAATTACTCCAAATATCTAGCATCGAGGCTAAGAAAGCAGTAAATTCTAACAAACTGTGATCAAACAGATTAGTCTACACCTTTTAGCTCAGCTGTCTTCGTCAAACTAGCTGAAAACTAGGGTAACTGAAATCTTCGAATTCGAAGCTTATGTCTGTTTCTGTACAAGGTCAACGTATGTTGGTGGAATTCATTAGTCTTATATTCAGGACTATGATATGCTAAAATTAAGTGACTAACTATTCGCTGCATTGTAATTGACAGCGTGGCGGTTCATATGATCTGCTTTAATGTTTGTTTGGGTAAAAGATGATACCACTACCTCTACGAACTAACTTTAGTCCTGAATACAGGACATACCCATGTAGCTGCTTCTACATAGTCATGGATATCACAGGACAGCTGTATTTCTGAAGTGACAATAATGATTGAGGTCTGCGATTTCCATGCATCACTAGGCCCAGTTCACTGATTTAACAGGTTACTGGTATTTATGTTTAAGAATTCACTGGGATGATTTTTGACCTACTCTTATTTGATTCATGATTTGTTTTCGATACTTCCCACAAAAGTCCCGCCAGTTTGAGATATTTTTCTCGGGTGACTAACCCAATCTTGAACGCCCTTTTTTCTTCACACTTTCTGATTCAATAGGCAAGGCAAATTTTTACCAGCGAAGATTTCTTTTTCCTAAGTTAAAGCACACGTCTTAGAATCAATTTTCTCTCCATCATAAACGTCGACAGATTATTAGGGAGACACGTTCCACTCAATAGAATTCACTTTCTATTTCATCCTACATATATTAGGAAAGTGACTACTAGTAGGTCTTGTGTCAAAAGCCCATCCCAAAAAACGCTTAGCCCTACTCACATCCGGTTTTAAGCGAACTTGTCTTCCTTTACTTACTTTAAATGAAGAAATAATCTGAAACAATTAGTCCCTTTCATGAATTTGGATGATCTAATTAGAAGATGTAGATTATCTGACAAATGTGATGTATTAGCGCTATACATTTCGAACAATCTGATCACACATTTACTTGTTGAGGCGCTAGCCATAAATAAATTTAACCCACCATTGTGTGTGCAAAATAGTTTGTCCTTACATTAAGCCTACCTTGGTAATGCTTATTTTATCGCATTACCAAGATTGTCTTCAAGTCTTATCTTTTATTCCTCTCATTATCTTTCTTATTATTGAATGTCATATATGTCCTTCCCCCACTTCCAGTTTTCATATATAATGCCTTAACAAGTAAAAGTGTGATCAGATTGTCCGAAATGTGTAGCGCTAATACATCACATTTTTCGGATAATCTACTTCTTCTAATTACATTATCCGTAGAAATAATCGCGAAATCCCGATTTATCTTCCCTTCCGGAACAGCTGCAACTGATCCTGGCAGTTGAAACTAGTTTCTTATCTGTAGCTTATTTTCAGCTAGCCACCATTTCCCAGAATTATCAGGGACAGAAAGTTTAGCTTATACACATTTCTCTTGATGTTTTGTGATCTATATCTGTACTGAATTGGTATATTTGTTTCTATTATTGGTTCATTCTTTGGTACCTTGAGACAAGCAAGTGGCTTTTTATCCGTGAAATTGATATTGATGTACTCCATTTCTACCATTGCAAACTAATCTAGTTTCCTCTGATCAGTAGTTTTGAAGCTTGAGATACTGACAATAAAAATACAAAAATTTAAGGATATTCGCTTCACAATGCGTCATCCAAACATTACCATCCTCTTCTATATCTTGCGGTTGACTTGTGTCCATCTCAAGCTTAATCCAATTTCCTTTTCAGTTTACTACACAGCAATCTGTGTATTAATGGATTTTATATCATAGACACTGTCGTAATCACCATACGTTTTTCTCTTTCTAATCATTTCCACACGGATGAACTATGAAATATTAACATGGTACTACTGAGAGAAGCAGAGACATCTTACATCACTGAACGCTTTTGTATACTGTAGGCCTAAGATTTATGCAGCTGTCCTGATATTAACCTTTACGATACAAAAACCATATACTGGAGCTTATTACATAGTTCCATCTACTCAAACAATTTTGGAAACTGCTAAGGTTATCTTACTGTTACAGGATTCACATTATCCCATTAGGATGAAGTGTACGAGCTATGAAAACCTTAAAAAGCCATCAATGAAACATTTATTCAGAAAAAAATGAAACAAGTCGTTGAATACGCAATTTAAACACAATCAAATTCCATCCAAAATGTTCCCATCTTACTAAGTTAATAAACAAAGATGTAACAGGAAAGATAATTTTCTTTCGATGATTTCACTGACCAAAGCTTTAAAACCGTATATAAAATCATTGGAAACGAAGAGTAGTCTCTTATTAATCACTACACATACATGACTATGACAGTTTTTAATAGAGAGAAGAGAATTACTACTTTTGCCACAGTAAAACTGTTGAATGCTTATAATGTTTTTGAACCCAAAGACCAGGTTCCCGGTTGTGAAGTACCAATGATCTGGTCATCCATGGGTGAGACGGTAGAAGGCGTCGGAATTTTGTGGTGGCACTCTATTTCTCCCTTAATCTGATTGACAAATAGTTCAGTAGAAAACAGGACAGTGATGTGCAGACACAAAAACTGAATAGCATCTAAAAGAGAATATTGTCGCTTCCCTCTTCAAATCATATGATTTTAAAAGCTTTTGTGATTTTCGGAGACAGTTTTTCAAAATCCTGTAAAAGACGGCTTGCATTTTTAGTAGCCTTAGCAGTTGCTTAACAGTAGCAGACCCACATAACTTTGAACTGACTGACCCATTAAATAATCCTCTGTATGCAAACTATAATTTTACCATAAAGCACGTTACTACTTTTTACTTCCAACAGTAGTTTCGAAGGGATCAAAAATAACTGCTGCAGTAAAAAATTTGAAAATATTAGGGTTAAGCGTTGATAACCAGGAAAAAGGCTCCATAGTTCACACTCGACTACGGCATGTTATCCTGACAGTTTCTGCCAAACTTGTACATGGATTTCAGACGAACCTGATACTTTGGGCTCTGTAAAGTGACTAAGTATTCATAGAAAAATAGCAAATAGGATTAGTAGAAAATGAGGGTTTAAATCAAAAGTTTATATCATTTGACAACACACTGAAAATCAGAAAGATTTACTCAAAAGCATTTTCTTATTATATGCTTTGTCACATATATAAATATTTACACTACATCATATTATTCTTTGTAGAAACTTCATACTTAAATGTACTTATAAATCCCATTTGAAGTCGCCATAGAACAATTTTTCGTTCATCCTTATTTGCACAACTGGAAAATGCCTCTCTGACCGATTTACGGAAGATTTAGGAATAATACAAAATACCTGCTTATTTTGTCACTTAAAGCAACTGGTCTCTTCGATAAACTTAAAAAACGTAATGAAAAGACGAATAATATCTGAAACATGTGACGCACTGGCGCCATACATTTCGAACAATCTAATCACACATGAGCTTGTCGAACCATTTATATGAAATTTACTAAAAGGGCCAATTAAGTCAATAAGAAACAGAAATAGGAAAGGCAGATAAAAAAACAAGATCTTAGTCACATTATTCTTGGTATCAAAATTGAAATCAATACCACCAAGGTAGCTTTAGTGTAAATACAAATTGTTTTTATATGCATAAACAGTGTTTGAATTTACGAATGACAAAAGCCTAAGTTTAAGTACTCAGCCCTGACCACTTTTATAAAGTACTTTAAAACCTGATTTCATGTCTACCCTATGACTAGTTTCTAGTATGTGTTTAGCTGTAGGTGATGAACGTTTGCCGCTTGTACTGGTCAGATTTGTTGAGGTCATTGTTTTTGAAACCACTTAGGTACATGTGCAACCATCCGTTACTGCATATCACGATTACTTCTCCCTATTATGTGTGTGTTCATTTCCCTGTTGATGCAGTTTGTGGAAGTTACATGGGAAAGTACGCAGGTCTAGTCGTGGTCTTGTCATAACTACGAGATCTGCTTCTATGGAACTTCGGTGAACGTCGATCTAATTGCGATGCCGTCAGTTGTCCGGTAAATATGCCAGTCTTCCTGCCTAGAGCAGCTACGCGTTCATTTTGCGTTGGCTTAGTAATACTTTCAACCTGTTTAGGCATTCTTTCGAACAGTAATGTCAACCAATCTGTCAGTGTCAACGTCCGTATCTCTGACAGCTAATATCTGTTGGATGCATGAAGGAAGTCTCCATAACAAAAGATGGTAGTATAGATGGTTGTCAACGTTCTTATCTTTCAACAGACTTTGTATGTCGTTGAAGTTGTAGTGTTCTGTCACCTAGGCATAACGCTACTTAGTAGTTGATCGACAGCTTTCTGGTCAGACAAAGAAGTGGCTTTCATCCCTCCTTGCTTCAAAACATCATGAGGTGTGTCTGGGTGGGGCTTCAATAGCGTCGCCCTTACTTGTTCAGCAACTTCCTCCGGCAAAACAGAACTTGTGTGTCCGGACTTTGTATTTTGTGACGTCATATGATCGGCCATGAAAAAATGTTCTAAACAGACGAACCACAATTGCTGGTCATTAAACTTAAAAGAAAGCATAGAAAGATTAATGGCACCCATGGACCCCACATTTAAAAAGTTCTGATTATGAGAGTTTAGAAATATCAGTACTAGTACAGCAAAAATAGAACGATGTTAAGGACTTTAAAAGTAGGCTCCTGAGAGGACTCAAGAGCTTTGCTAACCATTTAGCTAGATTGTGTGTGGGTGACCGATACATACACAAGTCTATGTGTGATCAGGTTGTTCGAAATGTATAGCTCTAATACATCACATGTTTCAGATATTTTGTTACTTGTTCTAATATACTTCGCCAGGATAATACAAGTAAAATATACCTTATTTAATGAAATTGGTTTTATGTTGAGCAAACGCTGATGGGTGGTGCTACCAACCTGGGTCGTTTGATAGTACTCATTTAAAATCTTCTGGTTTCCTGTATATCACAACTACTTTCGGATGCTTTGTTTATTACAGGAACTCCAGTTCTAACTGAAGTTTAAGATAACTGATGTTGTGGCCACTTGACAATGGAGTGAATTAAAACCACCTTCGGAATTCGCGATATTATGGAAGATTTATAGCATCTGATGAAATTGTCAGTTGTTTGGCTTTCTATGAACGCTGGTGTTTGCGTCTGGATGTTTCATTACCAGGCTATACTGAATTCATCACTACCTTTTTATGAAAGTCGAAGTATTGATGAAGTCACTCAGTGTGGTGATGAAACTTCTAAGAACAAATATCAGAGATCAGAGAACCCCATACAAGTCACTTTATGATTTTTTTTACTGTTTACCCTTAGAAACATTTTACTGTATGCATATTGATAAAAGGAAGGAACCAGATGCCTGTCCTAGTAACTCGATGCAGAACGCAAAAAGATTATGTAATAATGTTGAGAAGGAGCTTAAATTAACATCAGATGTAAACCAATAATGGTTTTTTTTCAGTCTATCCGTGTGATATCAGGTAACGATAACATTGATAGGCAAGTTTGCGTTATGAACCAGTAACATATTTTTTTATCATCGTATTTGCTTACTAATAACTTTGCCAAAAATATTTACAATTCAGTTTGCCTGTTTATTACTTCTAAGAAGGTGGAAATATTCCATTGTATTTTCCTTAGTTAATACAGTAAAATTCACTATGGACAATCATAGACACCTTGTTCGGTACGCTACTTATTCTGCAGATAGAAATAACTCTATGTACACCATAAACTATGGTTGGTTTCATGAATCCATCCATAGATGAGTAAAATCTGGCTGTCTGAAACGGTTATTTAGTCATACTTCAATGATCATCTAAGAAACTAATCATAAAATATCGGACATTAAAATGAAGCCATATTAACTTAAATCTAACCAGAGAACCTTGCCATGGATAAAAACATTGTTGTACAACTTCGCTGTAATATTCGTGGAGATTTACTCAGAGACGAAAAGTAAAAGTAAATATCAAACCAGGCCAAATTCAAGATTTTGGGTTTTTTATCAATCTCTCGACATAAATGTGTATTATCCATTTTATTCAATACAGGTTATAAACATAATTAATATTGATTAATGTTTTAGGTGTTCATGTTCATCTGGACAGCCATGTCATCATGAAACAGGTCAGTGTAGTTGCCCAGCAGGAAAATATGGACCACAATGTAAAGATACGTGTCCAGAAGGACGCTGGGGTGAAGACTGTCAACGGATATGTGACTGTCACTTGAAGAATAATAATATGCTGTGTGATCCTGTCTATGGAATCTGTTATTGTCGACCAGGATGGCAAGGACCAAATTGTATCAGCAGTAAGTTTTCATTTTTAAAATACACAGAAGTGATAAAAATATGTATTGTAAGTACAAGGTGATTACTGAATATTCAAACTGTTTCATAGAAGACATGAAGAAAATAACTATTTGATTAAAAGGTGTATTACTTTAGAAGAGGTATGTAAAATGATAAATAGTAAATATCAGTTACTTGCAAAACTCTCAGTCTATCCTAGAAACACGAGTTAGAAGATCGTTATCCATACAAGACAAAAGGTAAATGTCTCTAAGAAATCAGGATTAGCAGTCACAGCGAATTCATATCCTTTGAACACGGCTTAACACGGTTCACACGTTTGAGATATTAACAGGTAGTCAGTAAACATTTTTTTAGAATATAATACTTTTCTATCTTGTGCAAAGAATCCTAAGTTCACATATTATCCTACATATTGAGAAAGAGAAATTTTGTCTTCGGTGTAGACGACCACACTACCAAGCAAACTATTAGTCATATTACCATCGGGTAATCGGGTTGCATAAACAATCTTCTTGTGGAGAAGACTAGTTGCAGTACAAACAGCTAACCAACAAATTTTATGGTAATCCCTTTAAACGATATCACTGCTTTAACATTGTGCTTTGCTGGCAAACGTCATACCGAAGTTCATAACTATGTTTCCCATGATATTGACACCAAATACTCAATATATTAACTTAAAAGAAACTGAGAAACCAGGTTACAAATATCAGTTGGAAGTGGAAACGTTTACTGACAGTGAAGTAACATTTTCATGAGTATTTATAGTGTTTAAAGAAAATTTTAAATGGCACTTTTATTTTGGAAGAAATTAACTAGAAATTCGTGTGACTGTTGCGCATAAGCTCCTTACATCTTAACTGGATCTTGGGTGTTTCCTTAAGATATATTGTTTTTAAAGATGAATGAGGATTTTAAACTTAAGGTAGTTTTCATCAAGGACTGAAATCGCTTGGAGAACCATTGAAAATGTGGGAGTACTGGATAGCTGTTTCGTCTTAGTATGGGACTTCTCAGCAGTTCGCTCTTACAACCCGGCCAGGGATCGAACTCAGGACCTTCAACTCCCATGGTGAACACGTTAACCATTTGGCCACTGTGTCGGAGTTCAGAGGTTCACAGTCTCCAACTTCTGTCGTTTCGCAATACAGCGTGACTATCACCCAGGCTCTTCAGTTGGCATCCGCTTCCCTTTCGACTGATTGATCCCACAGGTCACGGCTTCTCAATGGAACCTCATGATATCCATCTGGTCGTGAGTGCGTAGTGCTGAGAAGTCCCATGCTAAGACGAAACAGCTGTGCAGTGCTCCCAGGCTTTCAGTGGTTCTCCAACTGACTTCAGTCCCTGAGGAATACTACTTCAGTATTGTTTTTAGTCATTTACGATCTCCGGATAATTAGTTAAAATTAATTCCAAATATCAACAGCCACTAATATTAAATTACTCAAATGACTTAGAATAAAGTTACAACTACATGTGACCTTCCCGTGAATGCAATTTTGATTAGGTAGAGTCTAATCCGTAGGTACTGTTGTCAGTTAAAAGCATGATAAAATGGAGCAGAAGTTAGAAAACGTTGGCCCTTGGATCATGACATGATAAAATTTGTATGAGACCTGATTGTCTCTTAAGTGCATGTAATCTTACATGAACAGTGATGAATTCGAATGAAATAAAGGTCTTCTTTTTTCTGGTTTCTAATATTTCTATGGTTGATTTTCGTTTAACCTTCGATCTCTATTTATAAAAGCGGAAAAAGGAGTATCGACAGAATTACTAATATCATCAAAAACATGATTATCGATTACTGAAGAAACTTACCACAGTAACTATTCTCATCTTTACTGAAAATATAGCGGAAAATAATGAAGGATGAAAATAGTGTTAGGCTTCTACATAACTATGGAATCTTACCATCTTTGAGCGACTATCTAAGGACCTTGGATTTTCCAATCAAGTTAAAGATTACTTTACGATCGTTCTGGGGAGCTACTAAATGAATTAAAAGATTTCACTGATTATGGATAGGCTTGTGTATAATTTTGATGATAATTTTGACTGAATGGAAGCAAATTATTTCTCACGTAATCGCCTCACAATCTTTTTGATGGAGTTTTCATTTGACTGCACTTCACGTGAAGGATGAAACTGAAAACAAAGTTCCTTCTGGGGTATGCTTTGGAGTTATATTGAACACCCAAAATCCTAGTTAAAACCTTTATTTTAACTCCCTAAACCGTACGATTTGACTCCAAGTAACTTTGCAGTACCCATTGTCAGTCTTCAGTGGAAAAGATGGTAGGCTATTAGCCTGTGTTACCTTTTACAATGGTAATCTGCATGATGGTCCAGTTTTTCTTTCAATGTGATCACTAAATGAGCTGATCCCACTTGTTTCGGTAACGCGTTTCATTCATTGACCAATCTATGATAGAACCGACACTTTACTCGAATATAATTCAACAGCGGCTTTTGGATCTTCCTTTGCTGTCCTCTAAGGTGAAGTTGAATAAATCAATACGGAAGTCATTATTCAGATTGCGAATGGTTAAGATCAGTTTACTTCTTTTCCGACGATAAGATAAGGGAAAAAGATTTAGCCCTCCTAATCGATCTCCTTGGTCAAGATGAGTAAGACCTGTTACTGACTTAGTGGCAAATCTCTGGACTCATTCTTGTGTATCAGCTTCATTCTTGAAGCATGGGTTAGACACCTGGATACAGTACTCTAAACTAGGCCTTACATAAATGGAGTTTAGGATCCTAAGCATCTTATGAAAGCATTTGAATGCTCTACAAAACAACCAAAGTATGCAAAAAGCTCTAGCTGCAGAAGCATTGTACGTGATAGTCATCTTTCCGCCATGATTTTCGATAACCCTCAATTCTTTCTGCCGCAAAACTCGAGGTATCAGTTGACCATTCGCAGGGTAAACACCAGAAAAGTTATGTCTAGTGAACATTACCAAATGTTTGTTGGAGTTGATTTCCAGGCTCCCACGTTCAGATCATTTAACTGGTTCGTCATATCAGCTTGAAGTGCGGACTTATCATCATCATTATGAATGGTCGTCTATCTCTTGACGTAGTCAGCAAACGGCAATGATGATGACCCAAGCATCTTTGGTATTTCGTTAACACAAAGAAGGAAGAGCAGCGGTTCAAGGATAGTGAGCTTTAGAACCCCACTGGTGACAGGTTTCCAATCAAATTCTTGCTCGATGGTCTCTCTCGTGTAAATATTCCCTGAACCACATTATCAGTACCAAATGTACGAATTTTCTTCAACAAACCTGCTGAAAACCTTGTTAAAATTAATCAGCTCTACATCTACAGTGAGTTTATCATCTTCAGCCTCAATCCAGTCTTTCCGAACCATGAGTAGGTTTCTTAAACAACAGCATCCAGTTCGGAAGCAGTCATTTTTGTGTCAATCGGTTATGTGATTCTGAGCACTTGAATATCTCATCAAGTATTATCTTCTCTATTATCTCAACCACGATATAAGTGGACAACTGGTGACAAGTTGTCTATGACCCTCCTTAAACGCAGGATTTATCATAGCATCCTTTCAACCCTCAGGTGCCTCTGACTGATATAAGGCTGTGTTGAATTACGCTATTAAGTATGTATCAAAAATATCGACCAGCAACAGCAGAACCCTAGGATGGAATCAGTCCGGACCGGATGACTTTGTAGTCTTCATGTTTCTTAGCAGTCGGAAGACTGACTCCTGCATGATTTCAATATATTTCACTCATGAAATATTGGCAACACTATCAGTGTCGACAATCACATCAGAATTGTCGGCGGAAAAAGCTGGGCTTAAATGGTTGGATAAACTGTTAGTTTTTATGAGGTCCGATTCTGCCACATCTTTCGCCTGTCCGTATAGTAACACAACAGGGATTCCTTCACTTCTTCTAGTCCTCCTCTTAATATGAAAGAGCAGGCGTTTAGAACATTTCGAAGAATTGTCTACTAACGACCTTAAGGACCTATTTCTACTTTAAACAGAAAAAAGTAGTCGGAAGCACAGATAAAAAGCCATTTTTGTTGTGAATTTCATTTCATTTCTCGATTAAAATCTACCAGAAACGACTGGTTTCTTGTTGGTGCATTCAAGATCATAAAGTAGTCGCACGAGGACGGCAAGATTCTCTAATTCTGCTAAGAACTCTTTTCAAACACATGCGAAACCAAGTTTTATTACCTTACCAGTTACGAAAGTAGGAACTGCGTTACATCTCAGTGGCTAACTGTTAGATTTAGTGAGAATCCAGTACTAATAAGTATTGAGTCACGGCAATGCATCAGTCAAATTCAGGATGAATGAACACTCTACACTTATAAAGGTCAGGAAATGCAATTACGAGGATGCAAAACAGTTTCTAGGTCAACCATACTTCCCTTGTGTTATGAGATGAAAAACTCCAACATTTGTTGTTACGATCATTCATCTTAACGAGAAAGGTGACTGCTACTCAAACGTTGCGTACTTTAATTATCATAATTATCTTTTCCGAAATACTAACATCATACTGAAGTGCATTACCGAAACACTCATCACGCGATAAAAATTCGTACTTTAACCCAAAACTAGTACTGTGAATAGTTCGATGGTCAGTAGAAAAGTGCATCTAACCTATCCACAGCCAATTCACCTTCATTTACCACTCTGTGGTTGCATTACTATAGCTTACAAGCGATAAACTAAAAAATAATCTCTAATCTTGTTAGCTGCTAAATCAACAGATGACAACAGATGAGCTCACTTCATTAATTCTGCATTTTATTAGTTCACATAAAATGTGAATCAGTGAAGTGGGTAAAAATTAAGTTCCAACAAGCAATAAACAAGACATTATTATGTGCTTAATCTCTCTAACACAAAACATTTCACATTTCACATGAAACCAATCATGACTATTCCTGAGTGCCTTTATACAAGCAACCATCCTTTCAATTCTCATCATGAGAAAATTTGTTTTAGTGAAGGCTACTATGCAGGCAACAGGATGTTCTACCATTTCTAAATTGGAAAATTACCTAGAAAGGTATAAAAAGGTATGTGTCATCAAAACAAAATATTCAGTGAAGAAGACTGTTTTCAACGAATTTATTCTCAAGATATACATTTGAATATAAATGTGATATTGAAAGACTGCAATCCCTGAGGAAAACTAAACTTAAATTATGGGAGAGTGAAACAACAATAATGGTAGTTATAGTCATAATAATGTTGCTAGTTGATGACGTGAAGGTCAGTGGATAACAAAAAGTGGTTACGTAAGAATTTTCAAAAGTCGTTTACAGGGTGCATGTAGATTACAAAGGAGTGAAAACATTGTAGAGTTAACCAGCAATCAAAGGATTATAAACATCCAGGCCATATTTGTTACGAATATCATGAAAGAAGCTGAGCTCCGAGTCAAATTTAATCGCCATATAAGTAAGTTTTCATATAATCAAAGGATTAGGTAATATGGATGAAACAAGCTAATTAGAATAAATTCACAATATTTAGCTAAAAGTTGCAGTTGTTGGGAAGATTATATGAGGTAACACCTGAAATTATTGAATTTTAAAAAATAATGACTGTAATGAACATATAAGAGTACAAGATCAATTTAATAAAGAGGGAAGTCGATAAAAAGAGACGAAACAAACCGAGACCAAATTAAGTTAGGGCCAAGGTAGAGACAAAAACTACGTGTACTTCTTCTGAACACAAAAGTTCAACTTCGATTCATGGATAGCTAAGGCCTCTACTGTTTTTTGAAGCTGAAGATGGAGAAAACGTAAATGTTTGAGTGAATTCCATAGACAACCTTAAAACCATTTTTCGAGTGTTTAGATTGGTTAGAATCGATTAAACATTCAAAAATACTGACAAAACATTATGATGTAAAACTTCCGCGTTTTCCAGTAAATGGATTTCATAAGTTACAAAAAGCTTTTAAACCAGTAAATTAATAGCCTTTACCAAGTGCATCCCAATTATGTATGCCTGGCCAAACTGGAGAGTCATAGTGCCACTAAAATCCTTCTTTCAGTACGAGCTCCTAAAATGCTACTTCTTCAGTAATATTTAAAACACAATGAAGTGATGACCGCTCATAAAGTCTTGGAAACTCCACTCGGGTGCTCTTAGTAAACTCCTCCTGCAAATCATAAACGGCTACCGTCTACTGTGGCTATGCCACTTTATGCACTCGTGACAAGTAACAAAATGAGGAAAATATCAAGTAAAATTGACTGCAAAATAACATATTTCATATACAAAACTGATTAGTTAAACACATTTGTCTGATGATAAACAATCCACCCTTTAGACAGAAGGATTGAAAGGACTCAGTTACAGATTCTACTTAGTTGAGCCTTCAAACATAATTTACCTAAGGAGCTGAACGATGACAAGAATAAACATGAACAGTGGTGTAACTATTTACAGGAAAATGCATGAATAAGTTAAATCTAGCAAGTAACAACAAGTAAACACATACAGTGGTTGTAAAACATATATCGAAGGGTTAGTAACTACGCTATTCACAAACTAGTCTATCTCCAAGTTGCCGACTTTCCACAAACTATAGCATAACATGTAAGTGAAGTATATTGTTTTCAATTCTATCGCATCAGACTGCACTCCAATATACGCAGCTGAAAACTTATCTACAAAACATGAAACAGTCAAGGTAATTTTTGAGTCAACGATAACAAGAATGCGGATTGCATACTCTAGAGTAGTAAAATTAGTACACATGTTGAGAATGCCGCTACAATGTAGACAGGCATTCAGATTGACATACAAAAAAATTTAATGAAATGTTCGGCAGCAAAAGCAGGGGAATCTGCTCAAACAATACTCAACAGAGTGAGTTAGAATACATTTCAAATTCATTAACTGAAATAGGTTAACCTCCAAATTTTATAAACAAGTAGATGAATAAAGTGTGTAGAAGACTTGAGGCAGTAACTACTCTAATAAAACCACTATTTATAAAACTGCAATGCAGTGAAGATGTACTTAGTGACATGGTATTCCACAGACTATCGAGGATTATTAGTAGAACTTTTATGCAGCTAATCTGTGTCTATCATCTAGTCAGTAGATTATTTCGCTCCCACCTGGGCTCGGACCCAGTACCCATCACTTCAACGCCGAAGCGTTATTCACAAAACCGCCAAGGCATGATAGCCACTTCTTGTGCAACGGATATCAGTTGTCGCACAGCAACGGGAGATTACAAGTATCGAACAGCAAACTTGAAGTGGCTGTTTGCGGAAAATGATCAGTTTTGAAATCAAAAAATTAATCGACCATCATGTCATAATAGTCATTTCAAATCTACGAAGTATACCGTCCTGCAGATGCTGATGAATCTTCTACCATTTTCTGTTTCTTCGTAACAGTCGAAATCAAAATAATTTCGTTGTAATTAACATTAAGTCAGTCTATCAAAAAAAAGAGTGAAATTTAGATTCCGGCATTTCTGCAACCTCTCTCTTTTCTGCCTTATACAGCATGTCCAGCTGGGTATTTTGGTACAAATTGCCAGCATCAGTGTAAATGTGAAAACAATGGTGCATGCCATCCAGACAACGGAACATGTATATGTCAGCCAGGTAAATAATCGACTATCTCTTTGTTATTTTCACCTTTGGAACACTAGAAGTCGCACATAACCGTTATTTAGTTAGTAAAATACACCACAACTGATGTTTTCGAATTGCTTCTCCTATATCAGTATTCATCTTAAATTGAATGTTCATACATTCTAGAATTTTTTAATTTAATTATCATCATACAATATCAGAGACTTGGGAGACGGATGTATCTGAATCTGTATGATTTGAAAGTCGAATCCTACGTTCATCGCTATAAATGTCACAGAGCTAAGCTACCGTAGTCCTTTCTCCGGTCCAAGAAATTATTAGAATTCAAATTTCTCATGCTAATTTCCAGGTTCAATACGTTTAACCCGTATTGCCTTGTTAATAACATTTTAAGAATTACTTAAGATGTATCAATAACTTTTCCCTGTCGGATAAGAGGTGTTTATTTTCAAGTTAAGAAGTTACAGGACGGGGAACTCAATAATTTATAACCGGTGAATTATTTTGTCTAACACATCACGATGCCATTTGATTACCCAGTATAGTTTAGTTTAGATGTCCTACTTTTGCTAGTTACAAGTACTGTACTCACGTTTTCACCGACATAATGATGTTTATTTAACATAGAAAGGAAGTTTATCACTCATGGAATGAAAGCTGAAATTGCGACCAAGAAGATAAACTTTAAAATATTGAAGTGTACATAAACTTCGGTTCTCATCTCAAACATGACGAAAAGTATTTTCCAGATTTTATTGGCGACGACCACCAAATAATATCTACATGTAACTGAACGCGATATCCAGTTGCCTGAACAGGGGACATGATAAGGCATCCTCTAGACCAACCAATAGACTTAATATCACGGTGACTGTATTTGCGTAATGATTGCTAAAAACGAAATACTTCATTTTTATTTTTTTGCACCTACAGCCAAGATATACTGGTAAAAAACAGGGATGTTCTCTGATTCCAACGTCCGTGTCATTTGAACCTCAACTATCTACCTACATTTCTCAATTATTCTTATGAAATAGTCACCAGACGGTGATGAGTGTTCCAACTGCCTTTTGATACATGGAATTCAACTGGTATTGATAGATATGAAATGATGTAGATATCAATGTCCACTATGATAAATATTGTTAGACACCGAAAACATGGGTCAACATCAGATCTTAACAGCTATAAAAAGGGAAAATAAAAGCATTGTGAAAGTTTAAGACAGTTACCCAAAGTATTTCCACTTTATCTTATGCGGTTATCTGAAATCAGACCTCCCCTATATGAATGGTCACAGCATTAGAAACAGGAAAGTGAGCTGGCATATTCAAGAATCCCTTAACATTCAATCAGATAATTAATGAGACTATCTGAAATAGGAGTGGTTTGATGAACCGGCATTAGTGATACAAACTGATGGTTGAAGATGAAATGAAAACCAGGATACGAACCAGGAACCTCTGGGTCACAGGTCTGCTGCCTTACCAAATGAGCTGTGAGACGAGCAAAACACTTAGTGACTGGAGTGAAACTAAGATAGGGTCTAGTAGCTCAGGGACAGAGGACCGGACTGGTAACCCCCAGGCTGCTGGTTTGGACCCCCTTGTGACCTCTGTTTTCATTTTACCTTGCGTATTTAACTAGATAGTAAGTTCATGAGTTTAATTTTAAGAAATTAATCTTTAAATCCCCACTTTGAGCTAACTTCATTGTTCCGATTTATTTTTACATGTAGGATATTATGGTGAACGTTGCCATCTAAACTGTCCTCCTGGGTTTATGGGTACAGTGTAAACAACGGTGTGAATGTATTCATGGAGAAGCATGTAATGAGATTACCGGTGAATGCTACTGTTCGGCTGGCTACTATGGCAAAAAGTGTGAACAAAGTAGGTGGTTTAAAAAGTGTTTTAATTACCGGAGTCATCCAAGTGTAACCAATACCATATTCTAATTTTAACATCCGATCAAGGAATTAGATAGATCCAGTAGGCTATACAAATTAGGCATACAGGCAACCATGTTGCGATTAAATTCAACCACCAAGAAGTCTTGGTTTGTTGTTACTCATCAGTTAGGTTTGATTTGAAGCGTATAGAGAATCAAAGCACTTTCTGAGACTGGATTCCAAACTGTTTAGTGCTTATATTTGCTCCAGAACTAAGCAATGTGTTTTTCCTCATAAATGAACATGAAATCTGATCAGAAAATAGAATGAAATTTTAATCAATAAAGTGTAAATATGCATAGGCAATAGTAAATATTGAGTGACTCCAACAGACACCTTAGCAACGGCTAAAATAACCAATCAGATTTCTATATTTTATGAAAATCTGCCTTTCCAGCTGAAATGCCGTAATCTAATTGGTTATCTCGGCAGTTGCTAGGGTCCCCTTTAAAGTCACCCCACTTTATGAGTCGATTAATTTCAGACTGACATGTCATGGTAAAGTTTCGTCCTGTCATGTGATACATAGAAGTTTTCATCAGCATACTAATCTATATCAAGTGACCCTCAAGACCATCATAAAACAATTAAATATCCAATTAAACCTCCCTAATTTAGTGAAAATCCACTTTTCCAGGATAAATATGTAAACCTAATTGGTAATTTCAGTCGTTACTAGGGTGGCCTATAAAGTTGCTGGATATATCACTACAGACTTCGAAACGTACCATCGTATCGATCCAAGATGTCGGTGAAAAAACAAGCTACCGTCGAATTTCACAACTGAGATCAATAGATTATCCCATTCTGAACACGAATCTACTTTACCGTTAAATTAAGTTGATTTTTTTGGTCAGGTTACTATCAGTCAAACGACCGATGAAAGGTGATAAGTTTAACGTATGGTTTTTGTCAGCATCAGTCTGTGATATACTTTCAACTGTTCAACTCAAATAAAATGTACCACACTTTACGCCTTAACATGTCAGTGAAGCAAAGTAACTCATCGTATCGTGACCCGCAAGTGAAGTTGTTATTATAGAGGACTCGGTAAGCCGCTTGCATCAGAGCACATTATATAAATACCAATCTACTATCCCTTTAGTCAGTTAACAATTGCCAATGGAAATAAGGTTTAGGTTGAAGAAGTGGGGATTTCTATCAAATCTTTTAACGCTACATTGCAGTCAAGGTGAATAGCCACTAAAAGGTTTCTGTCGTCACTAGTTTGAGATGAGACAATATACCTGATAGCTATTTTTGTCTAATGGTGATATAGGCCCACCAGTTACTGTACTGTCACATAGCATTTTCATAATCATGAATCCCCTTTGCCCCTATTTTGATTCAATATCACTGAAAACGTTAACCGAGTGTGCGGAAACCAAACAGAATGGAGCGCTGTACACAATATGCTACATCTTTTGGAATATTAGATGAAACCAAGATGAAATTTAATGAATATTTATTTCCACCTGTCATCAACAACCAACATTCTTTGGTTTATCGTTATTTCATATTTAACTCTATTGGAAATACATACAGTAAAGAGTTTAGTGATACGACGAGGTACACTCATTCTGCATTAGTTCCATTGACAGACTCTGGTACTTAGCTTAATTGATTCGGGATTTCTGTTTAAGTACCTGGCAGTAAAAGACACGTACTCATCAAGATTCACTCACTCTTAGCTCTGTTACACGAGTTCTTTGGTAGTTTTCTTCTTTTATCACATCTGTTAAAGTTCACTTCGTAAAACTAATCTTGTAGCTGACAACTCTTCAGTTATCGAGTGAGTGAACAAATATTTTAACAAGAAAAAACAGAATATCTTTGTCGAGCAAAGCAGCGAGGGCATATGACTTTCTAAAGGCTTCATATAGTCATTATGCGATAGGTTTATTCTTCAGAATTAGGTACAAAATTGTTTGTTACTTCAGCTGTTGTTAGTTATCAGCAGACAGACTAATAATAATGTAGACCCAAGTCCTGTCAGATTAATTATATGACTGATCTATGAGATCCAAAGTGACAACAGCAATAACAACTAAATATTGTTAACATTTGACTTGGGTTACCTGACACTTTCGACTTTAGCAGGTAATACTGTTGAATAAATACCTCATGGGTTATGTTTCAAGCAGCAAAACACTAGGCGAAATGATCAATTTTCACTGGTTTAAATGTTAACGGGATTTTAAGAATATCTCTGCCAACTGTCGGCTTTCAAAGTTAATATTGGCTTATGGTTTCAATGGATTTTTAAAGTAAACAAATAAAAACGCAAAAAAAGATAAATGCTTTGAACTTTATCTTTCTGGACCATGTAAATAAATGCCGAATTCGCACACAGGATTCGAAATAACGGAACCATTTTTCTGGATTCTACTGAGAGCCACTTTCCATCATGGCTATCGGAAATAGTTTTAGACCGACAACATCTGATGCTGAAGAATCTAACCGTTAAGACTGATGTATTTGCATTTCAGCTGAACCCTTACAGCATAGAAGTTAGCTTGATTTATCATCTGAAAGCACCACCGTCTTCTTGCATACCAAAATTTCACAGTAAATTACTTACGTCGGGAACCCATGTGACTAAGTTGGAGTTAAATAATATTCATAACACAAGCCAGCCGACCGTTTTTTTATTTATTATTTGTCCCTTAGGTTCCTAATGGAACATACAGCTTCAGTAGCACGTCTTGAATGCGCTCTGTTCTCTGAAATCCTTTGAACCTGGCTCCACAACAGCCCACAAGCTCTCATTTCCTCCTCACCTGAGCTCCTCCATGTCACCCTCAGCTGAGACGCCCAACTCGTCGCTTCCCATTCGGGTTCCACTCGATGACCTGGCCTGTCGCGTGATGTCCACAGTATTCCCAATCCACCTCCACTTCCTTCCAGTGCATATTTGTTGAGCAATAGGTTCTTGGCTGGCTCGTTGCCAGCCAGAGTTCCTTGTTGCTTATTCTTACTACTCTGGCCATCTGATCTTCAGTATTGAGCCAGCGTAGGTAGTTGTTGATGAATGTCTGCAGTCTGTTGGAAATGCCTTTCGTAATGCGCCAAGTCTCTGAAACATACAGGAGCACTGATTTGACGTTGATGTTGAAAATCCGGATCTTGTTCCGCATGCTGAGTGCAGAGGATCTCCACACTGGTTTCTGGTTGATGAACGCCTGTCTTGCTTTTCCGATCCTGACTGGCTTTGATATCCTCGTCTGTGCCGCCTATAGTTGGAACAGTGCTTCCTAGATAGGTGAAGAAGACTACTTCCTTTAGGTTCCTCCCGTTGATGGTGATTGGAGTTTGTTGTTGGTGGTGGTGTTGTTGGTTTACTATGATTCTGTATCTTCACGCATTCATACTACAGTAGTCAATAACACCACAAGGCCTATATAAACCATTTTCCAATTATCCAAAGTGTTACTTGATGAGACGACTATTTGTTATAATTTATTCGCAACTATACATGAAGCTTATGAATGGAAACAGCTCATTGTGAAATTCGTACACAGACCTACAGGTTTTGCTTCGTCAGCATGCGATAAGTAAAATGATCGGTTCTTATCTTGATGTGATTTGCTTGGTGCTGGTAAGCACTAAAGTGCAGAATGCGCATTTCGTCCTACTTAAGATTCGTCGGCTGGATGGGAGAAAGACTGATGGCTTACTTTAACATTCCACCACTGCTATAGCACAACTCAGAAGGTTAATGTCATTAAGGCGATTTACAACTAATACTTACTCTGTGTTAATTACTTGAATTTTCACACATTCAGCCTGTCATCCCGGTACATATGGACCACAATGTTCACTGACTTGTCCTGTATGTCATACCCAAGTCACCGATCCAAATGCCCAGGATAGTTTATTACTCCCAGAATCTTCATTCAGTCAAGACAATTCATTGTCTTTATTCCGTTATCAGTCAGACGAAATAATCAAGAATACCAAGTTGGCTGCACTGAAACGTTTAGATGGTAATCGGAATAATCCTACTTGTCATCCACAAACTGGACAGTGCCCTTGTCCTCCTGGTTCAGAGGGAAAAGACTGTAGTACTCCATGCCCAAAAGATCGATTCGGACCTGATTGTGCCCAGGTAAGTGAATCTTTAACAAAAATATGCGTTGAACCGAGGTAACAGTGGTTTTCATCAAGATATGTAAAAGTCACTATAAGAACAAGTTTAGACACTGGTTGTCCATCACCAAGATACCGTAACAGGTTATATGACTTGTGACTGGGGTGAAACTGCTTTTATTTTGTTGACTACATCAGTACATCTATTCTAAGTGTTACTTTTTCGTAAATCTTCTTAAAGTATACTTCAGTTGTTCGAGTTTCATCATAACCCACTAAAGGGGATTGTATTATTTACTCCCCAAACTCAATAACTTGACCTTGTCAAGCACCAGCTATTTACTTACGAAGTTGAAACGAACTCTCAACTACAGTTAAAGTGTTAGAAGAATTTCGTGTCAAATGCACAAATTGATAACTGTCTAACATCAAATAATAACAATAATAATCTTTCATGTGTCACGATAATTTTTTTATCTTAATAAAATGGTTCTTAAGCGACAGACTTCAGTGTTTACATAAGGATGATGAGCAAAAATGCCTAGCTCATCATTTTGACAAGTAATCTGATAGCGGAATTCTATAATTTTGCTGTTCATCCAACAAGCTAAATTAGTCAACATAGCCTGCACTTTCGACTGGTCTTGGTTGGCTGTAATAAAACAGCGTGAAATTGCTTACTGTCTAGTGACCAATCAATGTATTTAATCCAATCCTACGGGAGGTCAGTCGCGACCCAAGTAGCGGCAAGGTCTCTTTCTAATTTCAGCACTGGGTGGTATGGTTTTAATTCCATGAGGCGATATCAGTTCTCTTGAGGTCGCAGATGTCAACTGTGAACGAAAGCCAACAAGGATATGAACTAGATTCATGGTCTCCTGTCAGTTCCCTTAAACCAACTGACATTATATTTATATCCCACCTACTAGTAATTTGGACAAATAAACGGCTTCTGGTTTGGTATTCGGAGACCATGCTTAAAATCTGGTCACAAATGGAGTTTTATTTCAGCTGCAGTTATTCCATTCTAGTGAATATTAAGCATTTCCAATTACACTGGACCAGTTAAATCAAAAGTTGTCACATCTTTGCAGTCCCTAAAAACGATAATCGTTTGGTTATCTGTCTTTTGTTTCGCCCCAATCAATTTCACTAGTTTCTCAGAATCCTATTGTCCTATCAGATCACTTCACTTACACGCAACTACACTGTCAGTTTCTTCGTAAGTAAACATTTACATTTTAATTACTTCCGCAAAGGTAACGGAACATAGATTCAAATTGCAAGGGTGCTCTTTCGCATGACAACACAAGAAATCAAACAGATTCACAAGTTAATGCTGCTTACATTATTTTGTGTCAACTAACATGGTTCAATGTACAACAAGAAAAATATTTTCCAGTTTAGAATGAAGAAAAGAATTATAGCATCTTAGACTACACATTACTGACACAAAATAGTCTGTTTCAAATTTACAAACTCTTAGATATTGTTTTAGGGCAACAAGCACATAAAATTTTATTTCTGAACACAAGCTGGGGTCAAACTTTTCGTGAAAAATTGTAGCAAAAAATTAAATGCGGAGACCTTTAACTCTGAGACCGATTAAGGAGACAGTGTATGTATGTGTGTGTGCTTAGTGGACGTTACGCTTTTCATTCTGCTGACTTCCGATTGAACAATAAAACAAATTAATTTAGGTCCATGTTACTTCCCGTCATCTGACCAAAGCAGAAACGAAAAAATCTAGAATTCACAGAATGAAACTTCCTTTGTATGCTGCACTGCAGAACCCGTGCTGTATCATTGCATTCATATAAATATATTTTCAATATCATTAGGCAGCAGTTAACTGAACGGTTTATTAAAAATGTTGAAGGGCTAAACAGGATAGTTAACTGCAAAGCAATCTGAACATGAGAAAAATTGCATGCGCAGAACTGTATCGAGTAAATTACAAAAAGTAATCTCATAGAATGTGATCTGACCAATAATCTAGATTTTGTATTCTCAAACTGTTTTTAGTGGAACATATCAAGGCAGTATTTCATAGTTCTTTACTGTTTTTCATCCATGAAAACTTGTTCGACAGCTGTTTAATAGCTTCCATAATTTAGAATTCGCTTAGTTATACTGTTGTTTGCTAGTACTTTATCTGCCTTTGTATCAGGTTTGAGGTTCACTTACCCGCTTTATAAGGTCTTAACAACTGGGCCACCGGTTTGGATCAGCTTACACAACTTCAATTTTGCGAGATAGTGCTAATGATCATAATTTGATATGTGACTAACTCTTGTGAACAAATCAGAAAAAATATTCACACTTTCCTATCGAATCTTTCACTTCAATTAAACCGCACTGCTTACTTAACTGGTACTTGCTCCAAGCAAACATACTATCCTGATAGAGGGTAAACTCATGAGAAAATATCTTACTTTGACTAAAACTGTTCTATATATTGATGGATTTATAGTATAATATAGCTGTAACTGGTGAAAGATATATTTTTAATCTTTGCAACGTGTTTTAAGATAGCGTCAACCACCATATCACTGTAGCGATTACATACACAAATCCTTTGTTCACCTTTGATTGCTTACATCTAGTCACCCATAGCCGTAAAAAGACTGAAATAAAACCACTTTTTATTTGGATTTGACGATTTGGTGTTCTCTGACATTCAGTGAAAAATTATGGCAACCAAACAAAAAAGATGGATAATAAAGAGTTACAATCAGTCTTTTGATGATTGAAACAAACAAATCCTCCCTAATTTTAAGTATTACGAAAGATTCTTCAATGGGGACCTATAGTTTAGTGCAAGTACTTTCTGACATTCCTGGAGAAAGTGAAAACTCCATATTTTTTTCAGTGAGACAGTGTACATCAAACACTAGTTTAAAACTTCCCTTTACTGATATATGTGCTTGATGTTGAAGATGGTTCCCTCATAAAATAAGAATGAGTGAATTTCTTCTATTTATTCAAAAACATTCACTTGCAGGCAGTTACTTCAGTTGTTTTGAATATAAAGATTTCATACCTCTTGCGTTGTCTGTGCTGAATCGTTGTAAATACCATGGTTAAGCAATGATTTTCCGAAGAAAATGTACAAGCATGCTTTTCGAGCTGTGGATGACTAGGAGCAAATTTTCACCAGTATTTCCTACTGTATTTTGTGGGAAACCATTTCTCTACCGGGATCAAGTTTCTGTACAATCATATTGGAACGCTCTATGGTCCTTCAGTCCACTGTCCACCTGCTTTCTTGAGTTAACACTAAATGAAGTCCTGCTAACCTCTGTTTTTACAAAACGAAGCCTCTTACCTTCTGAAATTGTATTTTCTCCGAGTAGTAGTTGACCATTAGGCTTCAGCCATTCAGGCTGTAACAACAAACTCTCATATAAGTGTCGTGAATGAGTGACATTTTCGCATAAATCAAACTTCGTAACTAAACTGTTTTCGGGTACCAGGTGTGTCATTTGTTAACCACTTATCAAGTAAATAACATACGCTTCCCTATGGAATTAATGGAAACAATACTCACTGGTTAGACTATGGTCAATGATCACATAATCCATACATCAAATTTTATTTATATCAATAGTGTCAGTAGTGCAACTAGAGGAATGTTTTGCACACGATTTAAAAAACTATGAATACGACCAGCAACATGGAGTTCTTTAAAAAATGAAACACAGAACCACTAGTTACTCCCTAACAGGAAATCAACGTTTGCATTCAATGCGTCCAGTGTTTCTTGTCAAACATCTTCAGCAGAAAGCTTTAATTATTCACAGTATTTATCGGAAATACGCAAAGAAACCGCTAGGAAAACTTGTACTTCATAAGAGAACTAAGCTTAATTTAGGTTCTATTTAGAGGTTAGGTACTTTAACTTACTAGAAACTAGCCAGCAAGAATAATGTTGGCGTTAATGTAGTTCTTTTTCGTCATAGTAGTTATGACTAGGAACATACATCTATTGGCTAGTTATTTTCCGCTGACTGGGCGTAACGCATTTCCTTCCTAGTCACCATTGAAATCTACTTGAAACGGTTGTTTATTACTGAGTTTACGCTTTTGGCACAAAATACAACCAAACGGCTTCATATCTACCAATATTTACTAGAAAAGAATGTTATATATGTCGTTGCATAACAGTTTCCTCAATCAACACCCACCATACTTTCTAATTTTAACATCAATATTTCCATGAGCATTATTTACTCGGATGACAATGTTCCATTGAAATTTGTTAGGTTCTGTTCAAATAAACAGGAAGTTATATGCTGCGACATAGTTATCTCAGAGTAAATTTGAAACTGCTGCTGTTAAACATAATTTTTATTCCAATGATTTGAAGATGGGTGGATTTCTGACGTGATAGAAAAAAATGACGTTGAAGTGTATCAAAAATTCAGTTTGGAAGTTTATGAAAAACTGATTAGTTTCACAAGAATATTCATCACGGACACATTGGTTTGCATTGACCTTTGGTGACCAATCATTGATGACTCACAAAAACCGATTTATTGACCTCCAGTGTCTTATACACAGAATATATATACCATAATTGGAAATCATCTTATAAGCTACTGATTTCAACCAGATATTACCTGATTTTTTAAAAATAATCGTTCCTATAAATTGCTTACAATATTTACATATTAGCTAGCAAAAGTTGGATATTTTCAATATCCTTCAGAATTACCGTAGTCCTGAAGAAGTTCATGTACTTTCTAATTATTTTATCTGAATTTGTGGCGAGCAAATGAAAGGAAGCCTGAACAACTGGGTGGTTAGGGATCTGATTTCGTCACTGAATGATGCAAGTTTGAACCACCGAAGTAACACCAGTTTCATGGTGGCTTTAGATACACTTTGCTGACTAGTGCCAACAACCACGAAACCTGAGCAGGCCTTTCTGGAAATCAACTTTCACCAACTAACATGAAGTAAAATTCATGTTGAAGCTATGTTGCTGCTCGAGTTTTACGGGGGCAAAGAAAGTAGTACTTATGCTCACATCTTGTCTACCAGACCTCACACTTCTCATTTGAAATTAGCTTTTCAACAAGAGCTGCAAACTTTGCATTTACTAAGCCAAAAACAATAATTCAGTTAGTTTTCTGGGCGTATCCACCACCAGCTCATACCACAGCAAATTTGTTCTATCCTTTAATCCAAAACCATATGTCCTTTCATTTTTCTGCCAAAATATGTGATTTTTAGGACCAACCGCTGAATTTTAGTAAGTTAATTCTAGTCAATGGGTTGAAATGACTTCTTCAATTCAAGTAAAAAATAATTCACTGAATCCTGAGACTCGTCAACATATTACAGTCAACTCGAAAACGGCTGATAAAATGAACATTTTTCTCAGTGATTTCAAAATGAAGATAATAGGACATTGCTTACTGAAGAAACTGGTGGAAATCCAGTGACGATACTGATTTTTCCACGATTTTTCTAGCCTCAAGGTTGGCAAGTTCCGAAATCCCTATCACTTCAAACGCGTTTACGATCTTTACAATGCAGCAACACCTAGATACAGCATATTTGGGCGATATGTCCTCAGCACCTTTGAACAAGGCAGCATGGGAAATACAAGATTCTAGTTATTGCCCATATAGCTGGAATTATCCTCAGAACAAAGCTTTAAAAGGGTCAGATAACTATATGAAAAGGCTGTTAAAAATGTGACACACACCGTTAGCCAGTAGTCAATGACTATATTTTCACCAATTATGCAGGGATATTCTACTCTGTTGCTTACTGCAGTATCGTAAACACAATGTAAATTTGTATCATGATTCAACATTCAGTCTTCAGGAATACAACATAGTGATCTAACTTCAAGTTTAAATACTGAATGATATTCATGCGTCAAAAATGTATGGAATGGTTCATTTCGAAACTATTCATTATCCGTTTGAGAATCACCACATATCCTTTTGAATTAAGGATCGAAGAAATGAAATAAAAAAGTTTACCTGCAGAATGCAATATATATGTAGGTAAAATTTCGACAAAGTAATCAAAAACATGCTTTACAGCTTCAACCCTATTATTAGACGTACACGCGTTCCAGTAAATCCCCACTAACCTCCAAACTGAAGTACATACGTCCAACTTTCTATACGTTTTAGAAGCGTATAAAAATGAAGGGACAAGCATTATGCTTGACTAGGCATTTTTGAGGAGATACAGTGTTGATAAAAGAGAAATCAGAACCCGTTACGAATTACTCCTGATAACCTTACGCTTAAATTCTTTGCACTTTTTCATATTCCGTCTGTGGCTATATTCCGTTACACAGTTTACGGCAACTGTAACATACTGTGAAGTCAGTGAAGTGTCATCAATGTTTCCTTTCTTTCACACTGTACAAATCCCTAAGAAAGATAACTATTGAAAATGTATGAATATTGTCGGGAGCTACATAACTTGGCAAAAATCTTATGCCTTTTGAGATGTCTAGTTTCTTTATCTCAGCGTGATTTTTCTTGGAATCTCTGGTCTTCTTATTCCACAATATTTCAATAACGTGGTTATGATAAAAAGGTGAAAGCCAATAACTTCATGCCTTCTTCACAAAGCGTTCACATTCCACAGCCGCATGTCAGTAAAACAGGCTGTTTTCATCTCAGTTTTCCGAAAGGTAGCATACACTTATACATAGGAGACAGAAACTAACTTTATCTCAGAGATAAATCTAATGATTTCGATCATATCCAAAATAACCAACTTATTACATTAAGGGAAGCTAATACTCATCTAGGTTTCCCATTACATTCCACTGGCTATACACATACTTAATCAAGTTTGATGTACTAGAGAGAATTAAAGGTCAATACCCAAGGTTTTATCAAACGAATAACTATATCAAGTATTAATAACTGACAACAGAATTGGAGCATAAAATACTGTGAACTGTTACTGTATTACAACCTCTGAACATAAAGATTTATTATGAACGGATGTGATACCTATTTCAGTGTTAGACTCTATCAAGAAACCCGTGCCATTACACAGTTTTTCTGTTAATCATTCCATCAGATGTGCTGCAAAATATATATATATATAACTTTTATATTTAATGTGCCACTTACTCATATTACTCATTTGTCATATACTCTTCCTGAGGCATAGAGTAAAATGTATCAGTTAATATGTTTAGTAATAACCTTCAGAATGTCTGCAAGTGAACTTCAGGTAGAAAGAATATAACAGCGTAAATGATTGTATAATGCCAATCAAGAAGTGTTGTCATACAACTGAAATCTAACTACATAAGTCCATATAGTATCCTATACATTTCACCAGTTTACTGAACAGTTTGCTTCTCACCATTCACTTCAATGTTCACAAATAGTATGTTACTTTGTCATAACCTTATGCTAAAACGTTGGTGTAAACAACATTGAATTTTTTTTCAATTTTTGTCACCTAGTAGTGTAGAAGAAATGTGGTGAACAACGGTATAGTTTGTCCATATATGACTTATCTGAAGAAATGAAACAGGCAAAATTTCTGACAGATATTTCTCCTATCTGATGGACACAGGCTTATATTAAACTTTATTTACTAACTGTCAACCCTCTTTGAGATCACTCTTAACGGTTGATGACATTTGTGCCAGAAAAATGAATTATCCATAACCAGAAGGTGAGACATTCTGTCGACTGACATTATTGAAATGCAAACAATTCATGAAGAAATTGTTTGGTTGAAATCAATTAAAAAGACGCGGTAGTTTTTGTGCAGAATGACTTGATTTCGCCCCGAGAATTCTCATCAGCTTACTATACGTAATACAAAGTACGGCTATTAAGTGACATCTATTAAGCAAAATAGGATCACTGCGTCACTTAGATCTTAGAAACGGTGAATGGTAGGTTTGAGTTTCTGTGGAAACACCACCCACCTGATGAATTTTAGATGGGAAGAAAATTATGTCTTGCATTTCACTATAAATCCCGATCAGAGCAGTATATATGCGAAATGTCCTATATACTTTAAGCTCTCAATAAGTAATTTCTACTAAACTTTAAGAATAACTTCCTGAAGAGTGCGTTACTCATACTACACACAATGAAATTCAGCTAGTCAGCTTTAATATTACTTTTCTTAATAACAATATCAATACTGGGTGACGTCTGAAGGTGGAAAGAAAATTTTGGGTCACTGCTGGGTTCGAACTAGCGACCAGTGGATTTCCGGCCTGGTGGTCTTCTGTTCAAATCCTGCCGTGACCCGAATTTTCGTTTCACCACTAATCATCACTCCGTATCAACACAAATCTGTCAAATCACGGCTATTTCAAGTAGTCAATATTGTAAACAATAATTTTACAGCAGGCAGATCACCAACCTCAGTGATCATTTATTGTCACATTCTACTGAGTCTAAACAAAACAGTTCGGCAAAACTCAACCATCTGTTGTATAATAGGCAGTCCGACTAAAACTCTTTTCAGACGTAAACTACGAACTAAAAAGAATAAGATAATAAAACCGATGGATGAGTGGGCGAGTGAATGAGTGTATGTTTACTTGTTGGGAAAAGATGGCATTACGTTCCTGAAATCAAGTTATTGCAAAAGACAAAATCTATGTACTATTTATAACAGTTTCCCAATCACCCACAATTTTCAGACAGCTTGATTCGAAAATAGTGGCATATGATGCTCAAAATGTATGTTTTATCAATTTCTGTACACCCACTATTTCACTCAATGCATTATCTAAAAATCTACACTGAATGTTATATCTCTGGCTGGATGACTTGATGGAGATGCCTGAATAATATGTACAAATGGGGAAGAATGAGAAAAAAGACAGGTAGGAAGGACATTCGAAATTGATTGGTTGTGATTTTCATTCCTTCAGACTACGGATACACAACTGAAAAACCTGTGATATCAATGAATTTCAAGAAGTTAGAATATACTGTTTTTAACTTAAAACATGTAATCTAGCGTAGTATTCTAAATCTTCCAATGCGCAAGCTAGTGCATCAATTCATCATCGGCTTGGGTCCCTTTACAACGAAAATCTAGTTCTCAGCAGTTCACTTGACTAGTCTGATCACTACTTTAAGTTCAGTTTATCACTTCAGCATCTGACACTATGCAAGCCATGAAATCTTCTAGTCTTGAACTCACTAAAACATCATTTTTTCTAAATTCAGAGGAAAGTTAATCAGATATCCAAATGCTTTTAAGTTAATATAATCGATGTACCTCACTAAACACAGGATTATTAGCGTACTTATCTGTACAACAGTCAATAAGTGGATAAACCTAGTCCTTAAAACTTTTAATCAGAAGCAGATATGGATAAGTGATCGTATTCCATTCCAACAGCTTTCTTGAATTCCATATGCTTTCACTGAGATCTAGTTTATAAGAGACAACTAGTGCAAAGCAGACACGATTTTTTTACTCGCAAATATTTATCTAACATCCACTTAGTGGCTTGCGTAGATCCACTGGTTTCATAGTAGTACCCCTCTCGGAGAGACATCGATTGGAGGACCATTTAAAATCTGGGAGAACAAAACAGTTGTTTCGTCCTAGTATAAGACCCCTCGGCAGTTCGCAACCATGACCCTTCCAGGGATCGGCCCAATACCGTTAGGTCCCGAGGCGAGCAGGTTATTAATAAGCCACTGGGTTCCAGCACAATGGTCAACGTTTTTCTGCTTTTGCAGGTTTACGACATAGAGCAACTGTCATCCAATGACATCTATGCGTATTTAGCCTCACGGTCAACTTAGTTGACTCTCCAGAGATTCATCTTTCAAATGCGATGTCTTATTTCATTTCATTCCAACCAAAACTTACTTTTATGCAGTGGGTTTGAAAACTCCTGAATATGTGAAGTCACTGACTAATTAAAACACGGGCTTTTTTTCTACAAAGTGTTGAAAATTTTAATACTACAGAAAGTAAATTCATTTTAAAAAATCAGTTGGCGGTTATTTCTTTCTTGACAAATACAGGTGTGTACATGTCAGAATGGAGCAACATGTTCTCCTGTCAGTGGTGCTTGTCAGTGTCGCCCAGGATTTTATGGACCTTTATGTCAACACACGTGTCCACCAGGGAGGTGGGGAAGAGGCTGTGCTTCTGTATGTGACTGTTATAATTCCCTGCCATCCGGCTGTGATCCAAAAAGTGGTAGGTGCAGATGCAAACCAGGTTATACTGGAGAACGTTGTGAAGAAGGTAAGCCAATGAAGCATCTTCTTTCTCTGATTATCTCAGTACCTGTCCGAAGTTATGAAACAGGTAACTTGAAGTTATGCAAGAACTCAAACAGTAATAGTGGCTGCGTATTATCTTTAGTCTTGAGAATAGTAAAAAGTATGGGACAAATTATGAACCTCAAAATCACTGAATACAAATTCATCACTTCCCGCTTGTAGGTTTTGTAAATACAATGGTGATCTATATTATAAATAAATGATGGCTTACCATTGATATGTGGGTCTTAACTATTTATCAGCTTTCGTCTACGTATGGTGTAGGATGTCTTTAAAATATACCGGTACTTCTCAGTAAATGAATCCAGAATCGCAATAGAGCCTTGATTGAAGAATGGCTTATTAAATAACTTCACCACATTCTCCTTAAGTGTCACGCATCAGTTCATTCTGGTGAAAGTGATCCGCGTTTGACCAAATAAGAATTAATCCAGTACTAATGGTTCATTTCGGTCGCATCGTATTTTTAAACAGCTAATCACTCTACTAATCCCAACCGGAAAAATCGGATAGCTGGAAGTACATGGCTATCTAAAACATCAAATGATATTCAAGGTCTCTGTTGACTGAAAGGCAGTCTGAAGTCTCGTACACAATATATGTTAAGACTAGTGACTGTGATTGGTTTCTTGATTGAAAGAATTTAACAAAGTAGTTCAGACTGTAGCATTATGAAGCTTCTAAGTCACTGGTTTTACCCAGGGTATAAGAGAATGGGGAGTATTCCTAGATATCACAGTTCGACAAATCAGCTGAAACTTCAGCCATTACTGAATAATTAAAATATATTCTTATAACGATTCAATCAGACTCGGTGCTCAACTTCCTCCAGGACGATAGTAACAACTATGATCTGAATGTTTATAATCTTACTGAACTAATTCCTATCGAGCTCATAAGCCACTTTGATATACTAAGATATACTTTAATATTTGTAAACGCCAATATTCGAAGTGTAACCCTGAATGGCTTTTATTTTTAGTAACTATTCCTGCTAGTTATTGATTAGAGTTAGTGAGCGTCATTTAAAAGTTAGATGTCTACCTTTTTCATTGAGAGTTATACATGTGGACTGCTGCAGCTGATTAGGAAATACATTTTTAGATTGCATTCAAAAAGATGAAATATAAAGGTGAACAGATGAGTATATTATAAGTGAACTGATCTATATGCAGCACTTTTCAGGAAGAAAGAAAGTGGCACAGCCAGATATTCAAAATCCTTAGATTGCAAAAATCCCTAACCTAGAACCAGCTGAACTTTCTAAACAGCCGGACGCTTGAGATGTAATGTTTACTAGCAACGTCATCAAATGAGATATAAAAATCAAATAATCGGAAGTGAGGCAGATACTAGCCGAATACCCTAGTGGATTGTCGTGGCTTATCACGCGAAATGACCAAAGTAAGAGACTGTGGTCCAGTGAAGTTTGATCCATTGGCTGAAAGGCTAACGTGTTCAATACGAGACCTGAAAGTTTTGAGTTTGGTTTTTGGCGGGGTGGTTGGTGCTTAGTACTGAGGAGCCCCACACTAGGACGAAACAGTAGTTCAGTCCCCTGAGGTTTTCACTCGTTTTTCAGCTAATATCTGTCCATGATAACTATTACCTTGATATGAAAATCAGTCTGAATCTTTGTGACAACGAGAAAACAGAACAAAAGGGATAAACAACTTTTGGTTTACTTAACTTTGAACCACATGGTTTTTGAGGACTAATCATACCCTTTGCATCAAAATATGAGTTCTGCGCTCGAACTTACAGTTATGTCTAGCTGTACCTGTACAATTATATCAACAAATAGTAACGGTATAAACCATGTAATAAATTATTTCTCCTCAGGGTTACAAAGCCTGCTTTGGGGATGTATAGGTAGAAATATACTTAATCTGAGTATAGAATAAATGAATAGGAATGTTAACAGAATGGTAAGTAATCATATTTCCTTAAGTGCTCCAATCTAATTGTAACTCTAAACACAGATTGAAACACTTCTTTCAGTAAGCATACATATACAATATTACTACTTCTAGGGTAGAAGGAGTCAACACCTCTTCTGGAGCACTAATTTGAAATCCCGGGAAACTCTGCTTAAAGGAATCACAGGTGTGCGTTGAAATATGCATAGAATTCGTGAATCAGGAACTTCCTACCTCTCTACTACACTCGAGTAAGAGATTTGACTATACTTCTGAAACCGATTTTAGTAAATAATGCTAACTACATCAAGTAGTAATCAAAGTCGGAATATGCCTAAATACAATTTTGTTTGTTTGGGCCGATATTTTCGGAGATGAACTCCTAAATACCAGAAACATTATGCCAATTCTATGTGGTCAATAAAACTTCAGTGATAGGAACGAAAACAGAAAGCAACAACTTGGTGAAAGAAAAATTCGTCGTCGAGCAATCTAAGTTGCCTTCAGAGAACACTTCTCAATATTGTCAACTGAAAGTATAAACCAAGCAAGCAAAACGCACTGCACAAAATGAAAAGTTTTCATTTAGATAAGTCTACTAGGACAAGAAGAGTCAGTGTCGAGTATAAAACATAAACTTAACTGATTTTCAGTTATTTTGGAATTAGGATTTCTAATCTCTCATTGTTGATTCATTAAACAGAATTCATTCACTATTGCCTGCACATAGTGATAATAGTCATTTGTTCTATAAATTCACTGTCTTTTAGAAAAAACACTGGTACACCAGCCAATAACACTAGTATGTAGCATAATTTTTAGTGAAAAAATATCGCTTTTACACAAACAATGCATACGTCATGCGAAAATGTGTGTGTACAAATGTAATGGTCTTCATATTTGAAAGAAAAACAATAAAGCAAGACTAAAGTATACTTTGACTATTTAGCTCTCTGATTGGTCAGTCGATCTTGAAATTCGATCTTTCGACCTATTCTACACTAGATATCAAATTTACGCTTGTTGTTAATTAAGCAATATACAGATGCTATGAAACAAGCTAAAATTCTGAATATCTCTCAAAATGACGATTTCCTGGCTTTGAATAAAAATCAATTTAATTCTGAATTAATTCTAATCTCAAAGTTATTTTGAGCACATGCCAACTTCAGGCAGAGAGTCATCAAAATCTGTGGAGCTCAGAACAATTATTTCGTCTTAATCTGGGACTGCCAAACTGTGGACGCTTATGAGGAATCAGAACCACTAGGTCTCGTAGTGGAATGGAATCTAATGGTGCACATTCTCCAATTTCCACCACTTTTCAATATGGTATGAATGTCATGTTAACTGTTGAACAGTCGGATGGACCAGTAAACTCATCCGTTCGTCACAAATCATCTGGTTTTCGAATCATCTATAATTTCCTTAACAGCTGCAAATCAACATTGATAATTCATGACTAATCAACCTAAGTATCTTAACTTTCTTCTCCATAGGTATATATTACCAAGAAGAGTTAGATCCTACCTAGTAATCTACTTTTTAGATTTCATATGATTTTGAGCATAAAATAAAGCTAAGACGAAAATGATGCGTCATGACTAAGCCTTCCACATACTGAAATATTGAGAAATATCATCCCAACTGTCCTAGGTTTACTTAAATATGCTCTCTGTTAGGATGTACCAATCATGGAAAGACGTTTAATTTATAAAGGCAAAAGTCAGTGCACTTGAATATGTGTTTTCGAGATGATGGAAAATATTTGTAGCTCAAAAGAACGATTCTGTTGCTGTTGTATTCGCTGAGGTGGATAGTTTAAGTGTGAAGTTTTCCCTCTGAAGTTTGTTCTGACGCTGTCTGGAATGACAGTGATTAAACCATCAACTTACATAACACATCAGCATCAAAATATATGTTTCCAAAACACATAAACCAATCGGCTTCAGTTGATTATTTCCATATTTGAGTACCTATTAAGAGTACAAGGTTTTTCGAAAGTTATAATTTTTTTAAATGTCTCTAATATTCACCTTCATTTAATGCCTAAGTAACTGACACTATTTCATGACGAAAGTATCTTCAAATTACTAAGGATAACGTCGCAGTTACAACTGTATTTATCAGAGTATATCACAGAGAGGATTCATCAAGAAGTTAGTGCTGAAGATGTCTTCAAGCCTGGTGATGAAACAACCACAACAGAAAACACTAAATCACCATCATCCTCATCCTGAGCTACAAATCTTTTTCATCACTTCGCTGTGGTTTATCTCTACCTAAGTATGAAATGAAACCAATTTAAAGGAACTCACACTCCTAAACCACTTTACCTAAGTTGTGTATGCGCAGATAAAATGAAGAACTATTTGGCCGTTAAACTTGATCATTTGCGCAAAGAGATGATTGCGAACCATAGTAAACCCTACCAGTCATAGTGTCTACTTTATGTAGTCTTCTTCCACTTTGTATTGTCGTCACTTAGCACTTTACACCGTGTTGACTAGGCTAGTTGAGCGCTTTTCAAATAATGCCTCTTTGTGTTTCACGTTCCCACTTTCACATTACGCCTTTCGAAGCTTAACATTTCTTGATTTCAAGTTGGTATTCATCGTAGACTGACATCAGTTGCAGAAGCAATGGAAACCCGGGAGCACTGGATAGCTGTTTCGTCCTAGTGGGACTAGTCAGCAGTGAGCACCCACGACCACGCCAGGGATCGAGCTCGCGACCTTCAGGTTCCATGACCAGCACGTTACCATTGAGCCACTGGGTAGGAATTCAATGGTCAATATTTCCAACATCTCTGTCAGTTCACGACATAGCTGATGACTCCTGAAGAGCCCCATACTAGGACAAAACAGCAGTCCAGTGCCCGCAGGTTTCCATTGTTCCTCCAACTGATCTCAGTCTACAATGAATACCAACTTGAAAGATCTCTAAATCCCCACAAACCCCTCAAAATTCAATTTCTTTATTTATCTAACTGGTCTGAGAGAATTTTCCTTGAATACAAATGAAAACACAGATTTTGGAAATAAATTTATCTTACAAGTAAACAGAAAGGTTTTTGGTTTCCTGTTTCTTAAACAGGCTAAACTTCCACGATTTGTTTTACAAGTTTACGGAAACCCACTCTCTTGTTACACAAATCCATTAAAGAAATGACAGGCTTTTATTGTTTTCTTTCCCTTAATATTTTGTTTATATAAACCTTATACCATAGTCTCAAACAGACAATCTGGTTCCCCACAGTTCAAAGCACAGTTGTCTGTCTTGCTTTTCATAGATGCGCACGTAAACAGAATTAAATATTCTTTGTATTCTCTGAGCTGGGTGATTTAATCGAGAAGTTTCAATACGCTGATGATGTTGTCTAGAAAGACAATTAAAGCATCACAATTAAACCATCCAGCTCAGGAAACACAGCACAACCAAGATCGTCCACCTGAGCTACAAATATTCTACACCATTTCAAAACCATATGAGTGTAACATGCTTCACCTTGTTTGAAGATAGGAGGATTTCTTCAAGAGTCAAACTTCCAAAACGGAACAACTATTCTTTCTCCTCGACCGCCTACGTCAACATGTTCTGCCGAAGAGTGTCAGATATAGACCACCGATGGGATAGAAGATAGCTGAACTAAGTGGAAGGCAAATGATACAATTGATGATCATGGATGAACGTTATCAGATCCGAAAATGCCAACTTGTGATTGACAAACAAAACAAGAAACTAGAAACCTTACCTGTATAATGAACTAGAAACCTTACTTACTACACAACACATGAAAACGCTAAAAACTAGACGTGATCATAAAAGCAGTTATATTGTATTATACATATAGTTCGCTTTATCATTTTTTGCAAAGTATGACCAAAAACCACTGCGAAATGAAGTGAATGTATTTCGCATACTTCGAATCACCCGTACACGCTACATGATTATTCAATTATTTCCCCTAGGTATTCTCCATCAAGGTGAATTCAAGTGAATATGATAATTAGGAGATTAAATTTGCTAAGTGGATAAATTATATGATTTGCATTATTTTACTATCGTAAGTTTGTGGTAACCTACATGCCAGTAAAAGCTCGTTTCAACAACAAACCATTCAGCAAACATTTTGTCTTTAAGTAAATTTACAATTGAATTCAATTTCTTTCCTTATTCTTGCTTTCCAACACAAACAATCAGTGTGTCCTCGTGGTTATTTCGGTGAAATGTGCGCTCAAGCCTGTCGACATTGTGAAGATTGTCATTTTGAGACTGGACAGTGTCTGTGCCCACTGGGTCAACATGGAGAAACGTGTGGCAGCAGTAAGCAATCTCCACATACTTCAAAGGTCAACGAAACAGAATTTTGGTGGATATGACAGGAAGATCACAACATTTATTTAACAATTTTATTATAGCATTCTGTTTGACATCAGAGTATTGGCATGTCTGCGTGAGATTATCGTTGTGAATCTGTATGTAAGGACAATCAGACAGTCATGAGCTTATCATTTAGAGTTCACCTACACAATGAACATATTTTCCTAGTGCCCGACAAATGAAAAATACCAGCAGCTGGTCACATTTAAGCAATATATTTTCTGGCCAAATCACAATTTATAAAACTCATTACAAAGAATAGTGCAATTGTATAAGTGATTCATACGATTATTTAAACGAGCCTATGGTTCTAAAGCTTGTAGGGAGGAAAGAGATAGATAGATAAATATGGAGATTGATGAACAAACATGAATTGTTTACTTCCCATTTATTGAGAACAACAACCAGTGAAGACATTAATTACAGTGTCTGAAGTGAATAGCTACGCATTTTGGACACCCCTTAGCTCTGATGAAATCTTCAGATTAACACTAATCAATTTAGCCATTTGACAGTGCTAAATTGAGGGAAACTGCTCACCAATAGACAAGGTATTCATGGCTTTCGGCTGATTCTTTTCAACCGTCAGTATTCCTATTTAAACATTCATGTAATCCGTGAAAGTTTAATGTGGATGAGTTGTAGACAGAAGTATGAAATAAACTTAAGACATTATTTACATCAGTATATAAACATTACAGTTGTACACACTGGACTGTACTGCGCATCATAATTCATTTGATAGCACACCAAGTCCGTAATCTAGGGGCCATTGCTTCGAAACTCCCTCTGACCTAAGCTTCAGTCATCACACAGTTAAACAGATATCACTCTGTCAAGAATAAGAGTTATATCCAGTAGTCCTAAGAGCAGTAAATTCAACTTCCTTGAAATATTTACCGATGTTTCTGATGCATGACTGAATGGTGTTATTGAATTTGTTACGGTGTTGTAGTGCAAAATTTACATAAATGTTGTGATCAAACATGTCTTTGTCCCTAAAATTATATTTCGTTGTCTCTCTATGTAATCTTAACTGTATAATAATGATATAAACATTATATTTGTTTACATTTTGCTAGTAATGAAAATGCACCATTATTCTCCGAACATGAATGCATACATAAAAAACACTTGATTTTAAGCATGCATTCACTGTTTATTTATAGTATTATTATCATCACCACCCTTAGTTTTATCATTTATTCAGCTTTTGAACTAGTTTAGAAGTATGCAGATTGTGTAGAGTAGATGTCGACACAAAAACACATGTAGAAAATTGATGTGCATATACTACTCAAAACAAAATCACACAAAATTCAAGACTGAAGTTCAATTATTGTATATAGAGGAATAGGAATTTGAATCATACGATTGATATAAACAAGTTTGATATTGATAGAATTAGGTTAACTGAACAGCATAAGTAATTATATTACGTTTATGTTCTGAGATAAACTGATTTATCACTTAGCCAGTGCACATAGCCATCGTTTCATACACATGCACTACTGCAGATCGACGATTATGAAGTTAAAAGATATTCTTTTGTAAAAGTTTACATCTTAAGTTTTCCTATCAACTTGTCAGTACAGTCAGTGGTGTCATTTATCATCCCTGGCAATATAATGATTGATGAACCCTTCGTACAGCAGGCAGAAATCTGAGAGCAGCATAACTACGCTGAGAGTGAAATATGGGCACTGCAGTTAGCAATAAATTGAGCTAGTAACGTCATCCAGTAAGCAACACTGTCCTATTGCATTCAGTATCAAATAAAATTACTTTCAACTACCTACAGTACTTAAAGTGGCTTTTCAAAAGAGCGAGTTTCAGATTTGTAGATAATGGATACAGGCAAAAGCGCTATGACGTAGGACACCCTTTATGTTAGCAGCCTCATAAAAATCTTGATTCCCATTCACAAAATGATTAGCATAATGCCTGTATCATGATGATTCAACACCCCCTTATGTAACCTAACAGCAGCACTCAGTCAGTATTCCAGGATATACTAATCAACCACACACGCCGACATGATTTTTACATTGAGTTCTCTTGGGTTGAGTAGGTACCCCATTTCCATCTACCATTAATTCGCACCGAAATTAAAAGGATTCCCAAATTACTCATTTTACCCAATCTGCCTGCACTTATGTTCAACTGCCTTCACAGCTAAACAAGGAGGAAAATTTATCGTCTAGAGTCTAACACTGACCATTAGTATTTATTACTTAAATATGAGACTATTACTGCACCGTTAGTCTGTCCACCATAATTATCTTTTTGATTTTACCGACGGTTTCTTTTTCATTGGCATTGATAAAAGCTGAGGCTCCTTTCAGAGTCTACTAAACTTAGACTGATATCATTTAGTCAGAACCCAAAAACACTTCTCTGGCATAATAACTGCTGCTCACACAAATTATGTCGAACAACTTATTAAGATACAGTGTGAAAAAACAACGATGTCTATTTATCTGTCACGTTGTCTTATTCTCAATTCTGACTGAATTCTAATGATCAGAGTTATTTGAAATAGTTAGTCCCTTAATAAATTTCAATAATGCTATCAGAAGGCGAAGATTATCTGAAAAATGTATGATGTATTTGCGCAATATTTCGAACAATCTGATCACACACTTACTTGTCAAGTCAATTTACATATGAAAATGAAAGGTCAAATATGATGAATATGAAAAATTGTGACACTAGTCTTGGTATTTAAAATCAGATAAGGATTACCAAAGTAAATTAAGTGAAACAACTAATAGTTTTCGTACATACAACGGGGTTACAGTTTACTTATGTCTAACGCTTCAGAAAACTTCACTATGCGCACCTGACTATTCCTATATAATATCTTACGTGCCGTTTTCGTACTAACCTTGTGATTCATTTCAATGATATGTTTTGCTGTAGATGACGATGGATGGATGTCACCCGCACTTATCAATGTTTGTTTTTTAAATCGCTTTTCAAGCCATTTAGGTATGTTACAACAAGACATATAAGCGAACAATATTGTGTTCAGTTAGATCCCCTTCAGGCTGTACTATATTACAAATAGCTTTATATATATATATATATATATATATATATATATATATATATATATATATATATATATATATATATTTGTCGGTTGATGTGATAACTGTTTTAAGATAACGATGGAGATAATAATACAAATAATAATAACGATAAAGTGATAACGTTGACTAGAGCATATGCAATATGTAAACACTCCGATAACCAAAATCAGTCGAAAGCTTGTGAAAATAAAAGTTACGTAGTAGTGAAGGGGGAAGTAAGTGGATAAACAAAGCCTAGACAAATACAGTAAGTATACGAAAGGGGCGAAGAATAAGAAAAGGGGTGGGGAAAATACTGAATGATAAAGTTATTAACTAAGTATTCCCTGGTCAAGGGATAAAGGATATACAAATTCCTTCTGGATACAAAAAACTAGGATTATTAGTTTGGATTACTACAGCTTCTGCCATATGTAAAAGACGAGTTTGAATACCTTTCGAAAGATGAGATGGTATGCGGTGTATAATTGTGAAACCAATGTGCTTATCTACCGAGTGACTACTGTCAACGAGGTGAGATAAAACTGAACTTCTGATGGATTTTATCGGTCCCTTTCCCAACCATGAAGGTAGATGCTCAGCAACACGCCTGTCAAGTTGTCCAGTAGTACGTCCTATACAGCTTTCTCTACAGGAGCAGCTAGACTTGTAAATATGCATATGAATGGAAGAACTAGATACCTTATCTTATTAAGCTATTAGTATTAGAGTAAAGCCTGAAGAGGATGTAATTTAAAACAATATTGTTCGGTTATATGTCTCGTTCTAATTTATGTAATGATGGGAATTTAGGTGTGTTCACCCATCCTAGTCTGCATTGAATGATTACTTCTCCCTATGTAAGTTTCTTTACACATATATGAAAAATTGGTAAACATAGTGAGGTGTGATATAATCAATTGTGCGAGGTTGAGGTTTGTGGCGAAGACGGTGTTTTGTCGTCTCAACGATGATAAGCTGAGCTGCATAGTATGTTTTACTGACAAAAGATTTTAATCTCTGCTTCAATATCATACTACTCGTTTCCCTCTGTATGGTACTTTAAGAAATATGTCTTTCTTCGGGAATGTACTTAGCAAATACATCACATTTTCAGAAAATATTCGTCTTATAATAGCGTTATAGAGAAGATCATAGTTATATCAACACCCAAGATACGCATCAACATCATGATGCAACTCTGTTTGATATGTGATGTTTTAAATTAATCCGTAGAATCCCAATGCTAGCCACTATCCATCATTAAAATGTGTAGGAAAACTTGGATTTATGATTGTTGGCCTTGCTGAAATCGGCATGTTTGAAACTGATACCACCTGTGATTTTAATGTCCACCACTTGTTACCTCAACAGAAGACGCTACCAATAAGCAGCCTAAATAGTACCAGTTCATTTGGGAGGCAGACGTACTTTGTCAACAGTGCTAGCAAACATAAAGCCTAGATTTAAAGCTTCCTTACAAATTTCTTGTGGTGAACTAAATTCTCGTTTAATATTTCGAAGCCTCTGTGCGAAAGTATCTCATCTACTTCAAATTAGGCAAGCTGCAATTCTACTTAGCTGCAGTTTTGTACTGAATATGTTCATTTGATATGACGTATATTGAAATAAAGTTATTTACTGGATGACGTTTCAGGCATAGATTATTGCTCATAATCACGTTAAGGTGATCAAACAACTTTCTTGTTTAGTTTATGCAATGTGGTTACCTTTCATTCGTCAATCTGAACGGTAGCACAATTTCCCAAATATCTTGAATTGACGTTGTCTTTGGTGTTCATTCGATGAAGAGAGATTGAATGATCTATCTCCCTTTCTACCCTACTATATCAGCTTTTAGAACAGTGGCTACGTCCCACTAAACTGTATGTTGATGCTTGTATAGCAAAGAGTGAGTTTTGCTGAAGGTTATATACCCTGGTGGGTTTTAGCTAACTTCTTGTGTTGTGTTAACCTGACTGATCCCTTTTGACCAGTTTGGTCTATGTGCTTGAACTTACAATTATTGCATGATACTTAATAAATTAAATTATTTGTCTCAACAGGTCAACGGAATCGACCCATCAAGACAAATAATTTAATTTATTAAATATCACCTAATGATTGTAAGGTCAAGTACATAGACCAAACTATGTCGAGGGGGTCAATTAGGTTGGCAGAGCACAAGTTAGCTAAACTTAGAATGATAAACAACCTTCATGGTAAGTAAACAAAAGAAAAATTCTGAGACAAAGTTTGCAGGTGACCTGTTGTAAGAGTGTTTAATCCAAAACCTTGTGACTGATGTTCTGCAATACAGTAACGCTCATATCATAAAACCAATATTTATTACGTAAAAAGGAAACGTAAAAATAAACACTTGAATAATTTGTAGTGTGGAGAGACAGATATCTTAAGATTAGATGCTCAATGTAGTAGATCTAAAACTTTTAAGTTTAGTAACTAGGTCACATGACTTGGCAAAAGCAACACCAGCAAGTTCATTTCCTTGGCCTGTGAATCTTTAACATTAATGGGGGAATCAACATTACCTTCTATATTTTCATATGCTTTTAGGACTTTGCTTCAGTTACGCTGAATTATTTGCATAATATGTGACGATAGATCTCAGAAGAATACTCTAGAAAGGATGTAGTAGTTACTCCCCACAGCGTTTATTAACACGGAGCTAAAGGTTAAGAGTTCTACCCAAATGACTACCCAACAACACACCGAGAGAAAAACAGGGTATAGGATAGGGAAAGATAAGAAACAAACATCTCTCAGGGCACTAGACTGCCTACTGTAGATGAATACAAGTCTTTAAATAGGAAGACTGCTAGAGTATACCGAACAGCTACCGTGACAAAAATCTCTTAAATTACCATTTCATCATGAGACAACACTAAAGATTTCTTTGTACTCACTATGAACTGGAACCTCCTATTAAATTATTGATTGCATCATTCCTTTCCAACGTTCACATTTTTGTTATAGTATGTCCACGCGGTCAATATGGGGCCAACTGTTCCAAACTTTGCTCATGTCAGAACAATGCAGTCTGTTCCGTTGACACTGGGATTTGTAACTGTCTTCCTGAATTTATTGGACATGATTGTTCAGTAAAGAGAGGTAAGCGTGATAGCTTACTAACAATATATTTTTTGGGTGGAAAAAATAAATAGTTTTTTCGCTTGGTCATAAATACTTAGAAAGGGTTCATATTTCTAGGTTGCCAACTTTAAAACAAAAATCTCTTCTCAGGATTTCAATTCATGTCTGTTATGTTGTGTTGCTCAATTCGTTCAATGAACCAAGTATCCTAACAATTACATATGCTTATATAAATGACTTAGTAGTGAAGCATCACTACCTTAACTTTGCAAAGAATACAGTTTTAGGGAAACTTCAGGCAAGGATGAAAATTTTTATCATTACGCTTTGAACTGTTATTAGTCATTTTCTGCATCTTTCCGTTCATCCTCTGAAAATATTTATCCCTATTTTAGACCATTCGATCACCGAAATTTTGGATAATCAATAATCTAATCAGGAGCCTTTGTTTGCAAAACTGCCATAACTTAATATACAGTAGCTAACCTATAAATACTAAATTTGTTTACTTTTGAGACAAATTGTTTCGGCTACAATGTTTATATTGCCTTAAGCAACTTTATTTAACACCCACAGTTTGTCCACATCTCGATAATGCACTGTCGGTCTAGTAGTTACATATTTTTCAGCAGCTTACAAAGGATTAGATTTTGAAAAAGGCGAGATGAATGAGATATGCATGACAAATATTTCTAAATATCTGTCCATATTTAAAACCATTTCGATTTCAGAAACTTCCATACAGATCAAATCTATTCCCTTCAAACGTTAGTATCAATCATAAGTCAAATATTTATTATAATCATGCTTTCCACAGGGATTCCCAGTACAACATACAGCTTCAGTAGCACGTCTCCATTCCACTCTCTTCTCTGCAGTCTTTTCAACCTGGCTCCACGACTCCCCAGAAGCTTTCATTTATTCCTCACATGATCTCCTCCATGTCACCCTCAGCTGCGACGCCCAACTCGTCGTTTCCCCTTCGGATTCCACTCGATGGCCTTGCCTGGCGCGTGATGTCCCCGAATGGTCTTCTCAGTCTATGTCCAATCCAATCCATCTCCACTTTCTTCTGCATACTTGTTGGGCGATGGGTTCTTGATTGGTTCATTGCCAGTCAGCCAGCCAGCCAGCCAGAGTTCCTTGTTGCTTATTCTTTCTGACCATCTGATCTTCAGTATCGAGCCAGCGTAGGCGGCAGCTGTTGATGTGGTGAATGTCTGTAGTTTGTTAGAAATGCTTTTCGTGACGTGCCAAGTTTCTGAATTATATAGAAGCACTGACTTGACGTTGGTGTTGAAAATCCGGACCTTGTTCACGCTTTATGCTGAGTGCAGTAGATCTCCGCACTGATTTCAGACTAATGAAGACTTGTCTTGCTGTCTTTTCGATCCTGGCTTTGACGTCCTCATCTGTGCCACCTGTAGTTGAAGCGATGCTGCCTGTGCAGGTGGGTCAAAGAGACTACTTCCTTTAGGTTTCTCCCGTTGATGGTGATTAGTGCCCCTTGTTGTTGATGCCGTTGTTGGTTGGGTATCTTCATCACCTCCGTCTTCTCTACATTCACTTGAAGTCCTGTTTTCGTCACCTTGCCTCTTCTGTCAACTTGTTAGTTTTCGCCAGTAGATTTTCGAGTTTGTGCGACATTAGACATAAATGACCATCAGCGAAATCCAAATCTTCTTCTGTGGTCTTCTAATCGGTGAAGCCAGCGTATGCCCAACTACTCGCTCCTCACAGTTTCTTGCATGATCCAGTCCACTCCAGTCGACTACAATCAGGATGATCATCGGTGATAGTAGGAAACCTTGTGTAACTCATGTCCCCTGTCTTCACTTCAAAAGCATCACTGAGATCCCCATTGTGGATCACTTGGCATGTGGCCTCTTCATATAGCTGTTGAATGAGGCTGATAAAGATTTGTGGCACTGAAAGCGTAGTGTTGAAGCAGCTGCCTGCCAAATTACTTCCCGGTCGACGCCAACAAGGACCTTTTCAAAGTCGATGAGGTTGAGTTGAGTTGAGTTGACTGCTATTCTATGCTCTGTTCTATGATGATGCGTGGCGTGGCGTGGCGTGGCGTAGCGTTGCAATTCGATCTGCACATGATTTGCTCTTCCTGAAACCAGCCAGCCTGTCTCGGTCGTAGTTTTGAATCCAGTGCATCCTTTAATCTCTCTCTCCAGGATGATACGGCTTAATATTTTGCTTGGGGTGGAGAGGATCGTGATTCCGCAACAATTCTTGTGAAGACGTAGGTTGCGCTTCTTTGGGAGTTTGACAAGGTAGACCTTCTTCCAATCAATCCACAGGTACCTTTCCTTCCTTCCCTACAAACCTTCTGCAATAGTGGTGTGGTGTGAGCATGCCCTCTGTTGTCTCTGCACCTGTTTTCAGTGCTTCTGGTGGAATTCCATCTGGTCCTGCTGCTTTCCTGAATTTCATTAGCTTTATGGCGTTAACGACCTCACTTCTGCTTTTGTCGGAGGGCTTATATTTACTGGTAGTTCTGTGGCTGCATGTGGTATTTCTGGACGAGTTGAATGTGGTGGTGGTGGTGGTGGTGGTCGATTCAAGAGCTTTTCGAAGTGGTCGGCCGATCGTTTCCTTAGTTTCTCCCCTTTGGTGGTAACTGGCTTTCCATCACTATCTTTCATTGGCTTCGTCTGAGTTGATCTCTTACCTCCCGAATAGTAACCTGGTTATTTGAAATAATCTTCTCAGGTCTCAGTCTCTCCTACCTACAGCCTGTTCTGCTTGACTTGCCAATGTGACGTAGAAGTGTCTTTTGTCTTTCTGCGCACTCTTCTTCACCTCTTCCTCTAGTGTTTCACACGTTGTATTCAGTTCTTCTTTTCGTTGTTCATCCCTGCACTGCACAGCTTCACCATCTTCCTCTCCCTCTCCCTCCTCTATCAGCTTCCATGTGTCCGTCGAGATCCACTCATTGTCCTGTCTTGTTTCTCCTTCCTTCTTAACACGGTTGTGTGGGTTTCTTTCCACGTCTCTTTCAAAGAATTCCAGTGTTCTTCCACGCAGGTTTCTTCAGGGATGTTGCTTAGTGTCTCCCATTTCTTCCTGATGGCTGACTGGCGTGAAGATGTCCTTTGTGGTTTCGTCATGCAGTCCAGTTTCTGTTCTGGGTATTGAACTTGAACTGAGGGCGTCTATCACAACTTCTTTGAAGGCTTTCAACTTGATTTTGAAGGTAGGTTCCTTGCACTAACTAGACAGTGAGTGGCCTGAACCTACATCTGCCCCTCTTCGTGATCTTGTCCCCAATAGGATGCGTCTCCACTTTCTTCAGATTGGAATGAAGTCGACCTGATTTTTAGTGTAGTGTGTCCATCTGGTGAACTCCATGTCGCTACCTTGTGAATATCCTTGTGTTTGTACACACTGCCTGACCTCCAATCACCAAATCGTTGAATGCACAGAAGTCTGCAAACAGTTCTCCATTCTCATTGATCATTTCACCGATTGCCTTCCTGTGTTGTCTGCTCCCAGTCTGGCATTCATGTTGCCCATTAGAATTTGGATGTCGCCACCTGCGGTGTGGTCTTGTCCATTACTGATTGCAGTTGTCTGTAGAATTCCCTCTTCTTCTCTTCATCTGCATTATTTGTAGGTGCATAGCGTGGCGTTGTATGATTGTGACTTTGCTTCCTTCCTTTTGAGTTGAATCTTGCTGTCGTGACATGATCCTGGAGGAGACAGGCTCCCACTGCATGAGAGAGAGCCTTCGCTGTCCTTGTGAGGGGGACATCATGATAGCCACTTTGAAACTCAGTGTGCTCGTCGTTGTCGTCTCGGTGACAATATCGGAGTAGATTATTAACTCTCCAGTTGACAGTTTGGAGAGTCCACTTCCATTCCATCTACTTTCACAGATTCCAAGCACTTCCATGCCATCCATACCTCTTCATCTCGTTTGCAATCTGGACTGCCTTGCTGGGTTCAAACATGGTGCGGAGATTCTATGTCCCCATCCTTACTTGCACTTTCACTTTCATCGAGCGAGAGGAGACACATCGGCCGACTGGCTTCTTGAAGGCTTTCACCAACCGGCGTCATTTCATCTCTCCGATTCCAGCAAGGAATAAGTTTGTTTTTATTTTTTATAATTTCTTTGTGGCTTGAAGTTTCTTTAGGGATTGGATTAGTTTTACGGTGTAGGGTTGCTAGCCCTATGTCCAAGCTCCCTTCTTTATCCGGGCTTAGGACAGTCTAGTAACTATTGAGCTGGTTAATCAAGCGAGGTTATTGTAAGTCAATGAATAATTTTTACTTAATAAAGAAGAGCTGAATGATATTCTGTGAAATTTATCGAACACAGTATATATTGCGCATGCGATTGCGAAAGCCACACAAATATGGATTCGCTATATGTTTCTGTATTACTGGTGTGGTCATGGGTACGCACTGCTTAAAAGTCAGGTACTAGGACGAGAAATCTTTCCAGTGCTGTCAATTTCCCAGTGGTTCTATGGTGTTATCACTCCATGATGAATGCTATCTTGAAATAAATGTTATTATGTTCATGAAATGGATGTAGTGTATCAGTTTTAGTTTAGTCTACAACCAGACTTCTGAGTGTTTAATCTTTGGGTATCACGTGTTAGATGTTTAGGTAATGACCGACAAAACTTAGTCGTAAGGCGGATAGTGACCAACATGTTCTGGTTACATGTGAAAGGGGCGAATCATCGCTCAATTCAAACATCTGAACTGTTTGACCGGTTTACTTCGAAATAAATAGAGAGTGACATCTCTGACTGTTATCCTATACTTTATTAGTGATGAAGCTTTGATTCATTGTAGTTTTTGACATTTCTAAATGACAAGCACTGAAAACAGGTCAAGCTCCCGATGTTAGTTGCACTCAGGCATCTTCTTGAAAATAACATTACAAAAACCTGATTATTTCACCTTCAGCCACCATGCAGTATGAATACATGTCTCCTCAACCACTAGTATCTCAGATAGTCAAAATGATAACCAATAGGACGTTCCACCTCACTAATTCTGATTCATTTGAATTTGGATAAGAAGTTCTGACTGAAAAGCTAGTGTGAATGCGACTAAGAGATAGTAACGCATCAAGAATTCTCATGGGAGTCAGCTATAAACCTTGGTGATTGAAGTGAAATTAAGATATGGTTAACAGCTGCGTCTAGTAGCTCGGTTGGTAGAGCAGCGGCTGGTAACCCGGTTACCGGATGAAATCCTGCCATAGTACAAAGTTTCACTCCACCTTCAATCATCACCCAGTATAAATGAGGGCAGCTGACATCATAGAGAGATACCGGAGCCAAAGAATAATGTAATCTGACATAATTAATTATTCCAGTTATAAGATGATCGCTAAACTAAAAAATGATGCCTTTAAATTGGATTTCACTGAGATAAGTGCGACCTAAGCAAACTCAAGTGAAGACATTTCACTGGTAAATTTTACTAACCCCAAGAATTCTACTAGTCTTAGACTGAGACGATTAGTTAACGTTTCTTAATCTGAATAATTATTATGAATTTCAAGACTTATTGGATAATTATCTCAAGCACATCAACTGTTATTTGTTTACCTCACTAAGAAACAAACACTTTACTTTGACGCGATAGTTTTGGTTGAAAAATTGATTTCAATATGTTGAGATGGTGATGATTATAACTGACTGGGAACTTGGATCACTGTAGAATGCAAACTAGTCACTTCTAGGTTAACTAACCTTGTAAATAAGTACTGAAACCGTCTTTCAGCCTTGAAGATGCTCGGAATCCGAGTAAAGATACACTGACCATGTTATCAAAAACATTTTCCGAACTATAGTAATGCTGGGTTGTCACCAACACCAGTGAACTAAGTAGTTTTGATTAAACAATTCATGAACAAAATTCTCTATTTTTATTTACATATGATTTCAGAAATGGATTACGCTAAAAGCCGTCAGTAAACAAAGAGGAACATGATGGAGAATGTTGATAATGATCGTCATGATGTTGGTGAAGTCAACTGGATACTTTATTTTATTTGCATTATAAGCTGAAGATTTCCTTTTATATATCCTCAAGTTAATTTTTTAAACTTCAAAGACAATTTTTATCACCCTAATATTAGGCACTAAGTGATTCGTATTTTTATTTTAGACATTGGCTAACAAAGAAAGCAGAGTACAAATATAAATATCAGTTGTAATAAATAACAAATTTTAATAATATGTAAAAGTTTAAGGTGAAATACAGAAAAATATGTGTAGACAAACTAAAATGATTGCTTTCTTGAAGTTATTATTCATTGGTTTCATGAATATATTGGTAATTACTAACCTATATCATTCTTATCTTCAGGCTTTCTTAAGCAGTCCCTTTTTTTATTTTCAATGCTATTTTTTATTTCCATTCATTATTATGTTAGTAAACATTGAAACATTGGTATGTAAGTGAAAACATCTTACCTAGTAGCTAAGGATATCAGAAACATGAGAAGGACAAAAAGAAGGCTGCTACACAACTTCCTCTCTTCATTTATTCTCCTTGCTTTTATTTATCAACTGATAAAATACAACCTTTTTATTTTAAGAAAGTGTACCGGTGTACACACTAACATATGTTTTAATCAGAGAGATTGTCAAGTAATGTGATAATTTTAAAATTTCACCAACTGATCACTTAACCTGTTGACATTATATTCAAACAAAATCATATTGAAATAAACTGTACATACACACTGCAATCTACAGCACATTTTGTTAGGACTGTTGTTTCCACTGGTGTAAAATTTTTGTTTTTTGTTATTTAATCAAATACACTTATTATATTTTCCAAAATTGTTGTTATCTCTGATTCCATGAAATTATTACTGGCATAGAAAAATAATCTTTTCTACTACCTTGTTTGAAATAAATACATACAAACCCTTGGAATTTATCTAACACGTGAGTGGGCAATTCGAATGCTAAGGACTTTAAAGGTCATCCTAGCAAACTGTTGAGATAGCCAGTTACTTTCTCCTATTCCATGAAAAACTGCCTTCCTGGCTGAAATTCGAAAGTCTGATCGGTTATTTCACCATTTTCTACTGTAGCGTTTAAAGTCACTATCGAATGCATGAAATAATTTTTAAAATAGAATTAGGACACAATTATCTCAATGAACGTAGATAGCTTAACATTGTGCCAACTACCTTCAACCGACACACATGCACACAGCACACGTGATGTAAACTAGCTGGTGATTTTAAAGGGTTTTATCACCCCGAAATAAAAATGGTATTTGAGAACTGGCCCACAGTATAAAGTATAATCAATATAGGACCTGTAAGGAGGTTGAAGCTACCACAAAACGTGAGAAAGACATGAACATAAAAAGTGAGATTGAGGCAGACAAATTAAATTTTAGTCTGTTTATTAGAACTACCATGCAATGAAACAGCAATGCTTACTGGATAACGTTACATATGTAATTTATTGTCCATGTTCACACCAGGTAACTCCACAAATTTTAGACATGGTTTATATACTTCTAATCTTTTCTTCTTCTTTGTCATGAAGGCAGTAGAATTTTCTATAAACCTCGAACAGGTACAGAATCATTCCTATTCCAAGTATTTGATGTTGATTCGAAAAAACAAAGGTTCAATTATCAACCTCTGATTCCATCCAACTAAACTGACTTTTAATACTGTCACTATATCCCACCCTATTGCGTGATTGTGTGCAGTAGCTGTAACCACAGAAGGAAATGAAATCTAATTTACCCAAACTAGAAACCGAAGCTCTTAGGAACCTTCGAAATGATAACAATTTAGTAATTTTCAAATAGGGTGAAGACAACTTAACAGTTGTAATGGGCAAATCTGACAACATTTGCTAAGTGAATGAACAAACAGGAATACGATCATATACAGAAACTAAGATAGCCGTAGATACTATTATGAATATGATAAAGAAATTCACAGGAGATCTGGTACTACGAACGAAGCCGTTTCTAAATATTTCAAAATAGCTTAATGCCAAAAACTAATATTTCTAGTAGTATGGTACTGTTAAGATTCATAAACCAGGTTATCCCATGAAGCCAACAATAGATTCTAGAGACACTAGCTTATGATTTGAATAAAAATTTAGCAATGGTAATAAACCTAGTCATAAAACATTCACAATCTCGAAATTATATTTCTTATTATTTAAGGACAGATTAGATGGCATACGAGCTGAAAACAGTGGTAAAGTGGTTAGTTTTGACATGACCAGCCTCTACACAAATATGCAGATCGATATAGCTCTGGTGGCAATTAGAGATAGAGCTTAAGGATAACAACAAGCCTATGCACCGAAATAAGATAGCGATCGAGGAAATCATGCTAAAAGTACAATTGTACCTGATGTCTACAACTTTTAAGTTTCAAAATGAAATATATAAACAAACTGAAAGGGTTACCATGGGACTACCAATATCCCCTACCGTAACAGACATATTTATGGATAGTTGGGAACGGATAGCTCTTCAAACATTGAGTCCTACTCCAAAGACATGGTTGCAACACGTAGTTGATAGGTTTACAGTATTGAAATCGGAAAGCATCAACGAGTTCTCGGCACATAAATTCGTTCGTGAACGCAATCTAATTTACGCATGCCTCGAAAGTCATGAGCGTGAGATAATAATGTTGGGTTGCAAGATTAAATAAAAACAGGAGGGAAGTTTGAAGACTGTTAACTAACCGAAGCCTTCCAATTCCAATCATTAGTCAGACTTCAAAACATCTTACCCCACATTAGATAAAGTATACATAGTCAAAAATCGAAAAAAAAAGGACAGGCAAGCTCACGCGTAGGACAACAAAATTATGACAAGAAATTAGACACATCGAGAATATCTTACGTCTCAATAATTATCCACCAAGATTTATCAAGAAACTCGCCTGCTTAACCAGCTCAATAGTTACTAGACTGTCCTAAGCCCGGATAAAGAGGGAAGCTTGGACATAGGGCTAGCAACCATACCCCGTAAAACAAATCCAATCCCTAAAGAAACTTCAAGCCACAAAGAAATTATAAAAAATAAAAACAAACTTATTCCTTGCTGGAATCGGAGAGATGAAATGACGCCGGTTGGTGAAAGCCTTCAAGAAGCCAGTCGGCCGATGTGTCTCCTCTCGCTCGATGAAAGTGGAAGTGCAAGTAAGGATGGGGACATAGAATCTCCGCACCATGTTTGAACCCAGCAAGGCAGTCCAGATTGCAAACGAGATGAAGAGGTATGGATGGCATGGAAGTGCTTGGAATCTGTGAAAGTAGATGGAATGGAAGTGGACTCTCCAAACTGTCAACTGGAGAATCAATAATCTACTCCGATATTGTCACCAAGACGACAACGACGAGCACACTGAGTTTCAAAGTGGCTATCATGATGTCCCCCTCACAAGGACAGCGAAGGCTCTCTCTCTCATGCAGTGGGAGCCTGTCTCCTCCAGGATCATGTCACGACAGCAAGATTCAACTCAAAAGGAAGGAAGCAAAGTCACAATCATACAACGCCACGCTATGCACCTACAAATAATGCAGATGAAGAGAAGAAGAGGGAATTCTACAGACAACTGCAATCAGTAATGGACAAGACCACACCGCAGGTGGCGACATCCAAATTCTAATGGGCAACATGAATGCCAGACTGGGAGCAGACAACACAGGAAGGCAATCGGTGAAATGATCAATGAGAATGGAGAACTGTTTGCAGACTTCTGTGCATTCAACGATTTGGTGATTGGAGGTCAGGCAGTGTGTACAAACACAAGGATATTCACAAGGTAGCGACATGGAGTTCACCAGATGGACACACTACACTAAAAATCAGGTCGACTTCATTCCAATCTGAAGAAAGTGGAGACGCATCCTATTGGGGACAAGATCACGAAGAGGGGCAGATGTAGGTTCAGGCCACTCACTATCTAGTTAGTGCAAGGAACCTACCTTCAAAATCAAGTTGAAAGCCTTCAAAGAAGTTGGTGATAGACGCCCTCAGTTCAAGTTCAATACCCAGAACAGAAACTGGACTGCATGACGAAACCACAAAGGACATCTTCACGCCAGTCAGCCATCAGGAAGAAATGGGAGACACTAAGCAACATCCCTGAAGAAACCTGCGTGGAAGAACACTGGAATTCTTTGAAAGAGACGTGGAAAGAAACCCACATAACCGTGTTAAGAAGGAAGGAGAAACAAGACAGGACAATGAGTGGATCTCGACGGACACATGGAAGCTGATAGAGGAGGGAGAGGGAGAGGAAGATGGTGAAGCTGTGCAGTGCAGGGATGAACAACGAAAAGAAGAACTGAATACAACGTGTGAAACACTAGAGGAAGAGGTGAAGAAGGGTGCGCAGAAAGACAAAAGACACTTCTACGTCACATTGGCAAGTCAAGCAGAACAGGCTGTAGGTAGGAGAGACTGAGACCTGAGAAGATTATTTCAAATAACCAGGTTACTATTCGGGAGGTAAGAGATCAACTCAGACGAAGCCAATGAAAGATAGTGATGGAAAGCCAGTTACCACCAAAGGGGAGAAACTAAGGAAACGATCGGCCGACCACTTCGAAAAGCTCTTGAATCGACCACCACCACCACCACCACCACATTCAACTCGTCCAGAAATACCACATGCAGCCACAGAACTACCAGTAAATATAAGCCCTCCGACAAAAGCAGAAGTGAGGTCGTTAACGCCATAAAGCTAATGAAATTCAGGAAAGCAGCAGGACCAGATGGAATTCCACCAGAAGCACTGAAAACAGGTGCAGAGACAACAGAGGGCATGCTCACACCACACCACTATTGCAGAAGGTTTGTAGGGAAGGAAGGAAAGGTACCTGTGGATTGATTGGAAGAAGGGCTACCTTGTCAAACTCCCAAAGAAGCGCAACCTACGTCTTCACAAGAATTGTTGCGGAATCAC